GACCTGCGGTTTACGAAACCGCTGCTCTTCCGGCTGAGCTACATCGGCGTGCATTTAATTGTACCCTCAACCAAACCCCTTTCCAACCGTTGCCGTGGCCTCGCCATTGGTCCGTTCGACTGAGGCAGTCTGCGGACCCCCGGAGAGGGTATCGGGCGCGACTCGCCCCGCAGCACGCGGCTGGTGGTTGCGCCGCAAACGCGCAGTTGACGATCACCATCGCCCGCGCATAGCATTCGCCCATCGGCGGCGCTGACCGCTATCCATGCAGGAGTTGACCACCATGCGCGAAAATACCATGAAAAAGAAACTGGGGGCCGGCCAACCGGTGTTCGGCTCAATGATCACCTTTCCTTCGCCGGTGGTCGTCGAGATGCTCGGCTACCTCGGTTACGACTGGGTGCTCATCGACAACGAGCACGGCAGCATCACCATCGACCTGGCCGAGGACATGATCCGCGCCGCCGAATACTCGGGCACGGCCCCCATCGTCCGACCCGTCGGCAACCGACCCGAAATCATCGCGCCCTTCCTCGACCGTGGCGCCTGGGGAGTCCAGGTCCCCCACGTCAATACCGCCGACGAGGCCCGGGCCGCCGTGGCCGCCGTCAAGTACTATCCGGACGGTGATCGCGGTCTGTTCAGCGGCGGTCGCCCGGCCGAGTACGGTTTCAGCGGAACCACGCCCGACTACGTGGTGGACGCCAATCGCAACACGTTGGTCTGCCTGATGCTGGAAGAGGTCGAAGCCATCGAGAACATCCCTGAGCTCGTCAAAGTGCCCGGCGTCGACGTGTATTTCATTGGAGCCGGTGACTTGTCCCAGAGCATGGGCTATCCCGGGCCAGCAGACCCACCCCGAGGTTCAGGCGCTGGTCGAAAAGGGCGTCCAGCAGATTGCAGCCTCCGGCATCACCGCGGGGATGCAGTTGCCCCGACGCTCTCGTACCGCACTACCTCGAATTGGGAGTGCGGTATTTCCACAACACCGTCGGTCGCCTGTTGCAGTCCGCCAGCGCAGAGTACCTGAACAACATGCGGGCCGCGGCGGACGGCCTCTGATCTTCCCGGACACACCATCCCAAGGCCCAGACATTGAGGAGAAAATCATGACCAGCCCCGTCGACCCAAACCAGATCTGTCTCACCGGCGAAAACTCGTTCATCCGGCTGGCGTCGGAACCCGGCGGAGAGTCGACCACCCGCACCAGCCACTGGCGCGTCCTGTGGTCGCCCGCCGGCGCCGGACACGTCCTGTTCCTCAAGAGCAGCGACCTGACGCGTGATCCGGTGCGGGTGTACGCCGACAACATCGCCCTCGCCCGTTACCTGCAGGACGAAATCGAGACCATGCTGTTCCCCGAGTTCGCCGACCCCAGCCTTCCGGTAATCAACGCCCAGTTCAGCAGGTCCGGCGACATCGCCAGTTCCTACAACGAGACGGTCGCCGCCTCCACCGAGACGGTGGTGCTCAGTTGGCACGATTTCCTCACGCCATACATGCTCAACAACCCGGCTGGCTCGGTGTCCGGGCGAACCCACGGCGTGTACAGCTGTTTCTTTCCCGCCCGCAGCGCCCAGATCACCGTGGGCGACCGGGCCCTCGGCGGCGTGGTCTCGCTGGAAGCCCGGGGTCCGGCCCAGAGCAGCACCGCGTGTATCGCCTGGTCGGAGACCTGGGTGAAGCCGTAGCGTGTCTCCCTGCGGTCAGCGCGATAAGCAGATCGCCCCGTCCACATACAGGATTTGCAGCGCCTCAAGTGCCACCGCTTTCACCTGCTCTGTAGCGTCGGGTTCCAAACCCTGGCACAGATTGCTGATCGCCTCCGCGACCGTCGCGCTGCCGTCCAACCCGTGCAGCAGTCGCGCTATCAGCGCGCTGCACGGGAGACCCTCCGGATGTCCGTCGGTTACCAACCCGTAGCCCCAGACGAAGTCGCCGTCCGCCAGCACCGGCTGACGTTGCAGCATCACCCCGTCGGCCAGCAGCGGCCGCGATTCAGCCGCCAGCGGATGCTCGCGCCGCCGCCGCCGTTCGGCCTCTACGTCGGTCACGCTTTGGCCGAAGGCCTCCGGCGCCAGGCCGTGGGACAGCACTGCCCGCTCATATCCACGCGGTGGTTGACCCGCCACCGCCTGTATGAAAGATTGCCGCGGGGTCAGAGACGGATCGTCGTCGAGCAGTCGGCGCGCCTCCCAGAAGTACGAATCCGCCGTCCGGTTGCTGGAATAGAACAACCGGGCCAGCTCCCGAAAATGCCCGTACTCCTTGTAGTAAAGCTGCTGGTACACCTGTCCCACCGGGCCAGCCATGTCAGGGTCGGACAGCGAAGATGCAACCGCGGCCGCGGCCAGGGTGGCCGAAGTCAAAGCCAGGTGCACCCCGGACGAAAACAGCGGATCGATGAAGCAGCCGGCGTCTCCCACCAGGATGTAGCCCGGGCCGTGGAGTGACCGGCAACGGTACGACCAGTCCCGGACTATCTCCGGTCCGGACACCAGCCGGGCCTTTTCCAGCATCTGCGCCGTTTGCGGTGCCGCTGCGATCTGCGCTTCCAGAAACCCGCGCGCCCCCAGGCGTCGGATGCCCTCCTGACCGGATTCCGAGTCCACCACGGCGCCGACGCTCGACCATCCATCCCGCAGCGGGATGTTCCACATCCACCCATTGGACTGCGACTCGATCAGGATGTTGCCGTCATCCGGTGACCGGAGCCGGTCCCCGCCTTGATAGTAAGCGTACACCGCCAGGTTCCGGAAGAAATCGTCCCACTGCCGCAGGCCCAATTGACGCGCCAGCAGTCCGCCCTGTCCGCTGGCGTCGACGACATATCGCGCCGGCAGGACTTCATCGCCGCACCGCACCGCTGCCGCTGTCCCGGAGTCGTCGAAGATCACCTCGGTGGCGGCACATCCTTCCCGCACGTCGACACCGGCTTTTCGCGCATTATCGAGCAGGATGGCGTCGAACTCCGGCCTCCACACCTGGTACGAATGCGGGTTGGAAGCATTGGTCTCGCTGAAGTACCAACTCCACGGTTTCCGGTCCGCCCCCCATATCATCGTGGCGCCTCGTTTCACCACGAACCCGGCCCGCCGCACTGCGTCAAGCACGCCCAGATCTTTCAGGATCGGTATGCTGGCGGGAAGCAGCGACTCGCCCACGTGATCCCGTGGGAAGCGCTCCCGCTCCAGCAGCGTCACCGGGTATCCGCGACGCGCCAGGAGGGTGCTGACGCACGAACCGGCCGGACCTCCGCCGACGACTACGATGGGAACTTCTGGCATACGGGAAGTGCGAATGGGCCGGGCGTACTGTCTGCGGGCATCCGGAACAAGTCGGACGCCGCGTAGTTTTCGCTGAACGCCTTTAGCGATAGTACTGCGAGAACACCGGCTCTTCGCGCGTTATGATTTCCAGCACGCACGGTTGCCCGGACGCCGAAATCTCCTTCGCCCGCTCGATGGCCGGACCGACTTCGTTCGGGTCCGTCACGTACTCGGAGTTCGCGCCCAGCGCTTCGGCCATTCGAGCGTACTCGCCGGAAACGTACTTGGTCCCGTACCGCTCGGTTGCAATCGGAATGTTCTTTTCGTAACCGCCCATTGCGCCGTTGTTGACGATCACGGTGATGATGCCCAGCTTTTCCCGCGCCGCCGTTTCGAAGTCAGTGCCAGCCATGCCCACCGCAACGTCGCCCATCAGATTTACGCAGGTCTTCTCCGGGAACGCCACCTTCGCGCCCATGGCATAGCCCAGGCCGCTGCCCAGTTGGGTGGAGTTGCCCCAGCCTATGTATCCCCGGGGCGTGGTGGCCGCGTAGAACGGCACGATCTGGTCTCGCGGGTTACCCGAGTCATGGGTGACGACGCTGTTGGCCTTGTCCAGCCGCGCGTTCAGCTCGTAAACCACGCGATACGGGCTGATGGGAACGTCATTGCTGGACAGTCGCGGCATCCACTCCGCCAACCATTCCTGCCTCACCTGCCGGATCTCGGCGGCCACTGATTCGTCGCCGCGCCGGCCATTGTCTCCCAATCGATCCTTGACTTCCTCGATCAACTGTCCGAGAACCAGCTTCGCGTCGCCCACGATGATCTCGTCCAGCGGATACTCGCCGTTCAGGTCCTTTTCATCGATGGTCGACTGGATCATGGTCTTGCCGGCCGGGACCGGAGCCGAGGCCAGGGTTTTCTGGAAGCTGGTTCCGATGCCGAAAACCAAGTCGCTTTTCGCCAGGAACTCGCCCACCATCTTCGTGCCCGAGTTGCCGCCGGTGCCCAGGGCCAGAGCGTGGTTTTCCGGGAAGCCGCTTTTGCCCAGCGTCGTAGTCATCGTCGGCGCGTTCAACAGCTCGGCCAATTCCACCAGTTCCGGCGTGGCCTCGGCGTACAGCACACCCTGGCCGGCATAGATGACCGGCCGGCGCGCCTTCACCAGCAACTCCGCCACCCGGGAGACATCGCGGGGGTCTCCGGCGGACCGGTGCTTCTGTTGCGGCAGGTAGTGGAACTGCTCTTCGGAAATCTCTCCGGCCAGCACGTCGTTGGGCATCTCCACCAATACCGGATAGGGCCTCCCGGTGCGGAGTTGGGTGTACGCGCGGCGCATCATCTCTGGAATGCGGTCGGTGTGACTGGCTGAGTCCGCCCACTTCGTGACGCCCTGGTAGTTCCGAGCGGCGTCAAAGTCGGACGACGTTCCGCGACGGCGCGTCCCCGGATGGTTCGGCACCATCATCAGCGGAGAAGAGTCAGCGTAGGCCTGCGCCACCCCGGAGAAGGCGTTTTCGATCCCGGGTCCGCCCTGGACGATGACCACGCCGTTCTTGTTGCCGTTGTTAACCCGGCTGTAAGCGTCGGCCATGTTGACCGCCGTCCGCTCCATGCGCGAGATGATGGGTCGAATCCCAGCCGCCGCACAGGCGTCGATCAGGATGTTGTTGGGAAAGCAGAAAACAACGTCCACTCCCTCCCGAGCCAGAATCGTGGCAAACGCGGTCTTGCCGTCCATGTAGTCATCCTCCGTTAAATCGCGGTAACCCAGGCATTATACCCGCGATACCGCACCCCCCGAGATCCGCGTCCCGATGGCGCAGCATAGTTCGGTTTTCCCGAATGACTTCCCATCGACTTGAATGTCATGGTGAGCAACACTAACGTCATTGCGAGCGTCCAAACGTCATTACGAGCGCTTAGACCCTGTGGACAAATTCCCTTGGTTATCCCTGAATATGAGAACTGTTGCGGGACGACTGGGCTACGCATCGAGGATGTCGGCTGTCCTTGGAATGAATTCCAGCCGTTGTAGGGCGGGCTCGTGGATGGTTCGCCAATTTCGGAGTATGTCCTGTCCGAGCAGGGATGGGAGTCTCGGGTCCACATCGTCCGGTTTCCCGATCCGGACCGTGACCCGGTAGCGGAATACGGGCGATCCCAGCGAGTCCCGGAAGCTGACGACTGCATCTTCGAGATAGCGTTGTGATCTGCCGGCGACTCCCCTGACGGTGGTTGGCCGGTTCAGGCTCGTGTACGGGACGAGTAATTCGGCGCCGTCTTTGGGGTGGATGCACGTGTTGTCCGCTCCGGTGTCCACGAGCAGTGGGATGGTTCCTCTGATGTTCAATCTGCGTATCTCGACGTGAGCGCTAACGTGGGGGCGACCGTTCTCGAAGTATCCAGTGATCGCAGTATGAGCGCCGGCGGTTCTGCGGTTAGATACTCGACCGCCGTGGGACGGTCGTCGTTGCCCTTGGGTTTGAGTTGCCCTACGACTGCGTCGAGGGAGTCGCCGAAGAAGAGGACTTGGTCTGGTCCCATTCCAGCCCACTGCTCGTAGTATTCGTCTCCCAGAGATGCGATGGCATCACGGAATGTTTGCCGGAGCAGTTCGTGTTCTCGTATTTGTCTCGAGATGGTAGCTGCGTCGGTTAGGGTACCGGCATCGTCCGGTGGTGTGCTTTGTGTCAAGGTGTTCCTCCGTCTTTTGGGGCGGCTGCCGGCTTGGGATAGTTTCGGAGTATCCGTTGCCACGCTTTGGTTCGTACAGCTGTGGCGAAGTTGGTCTGAACCGGATGCACTGGAACGCCGTGGGGTGCAACGGTAGCAACGAGGGTTATTGCGTGCAAGCCGGCGCACGGAGTGTTGCGGCTGCGGCCAGCGCGTCGGCTATTTATCCACAGGCTCTAAACGTCATTGCGAGCGAAGCGCGGCAATCTCGTCGCCACAGCACGGCCGCTCACCGCAAGCGATTGCATCGCTCCATCACCGCCGCCCCCTTTCAATCCCCACGGCGATAATCGAATGACCCTGCCGATGCCGTCGTCAGTTTGCCTCGGTCAACATGCCGGTGCCCATGCTGTTGTCGATGGGGCTGCCGTAATTCCTGCCCACCAGCAGTCCGATCTGACGTCGCCCGGTCACATCCCCGCTGGCCGCGCAGTTGCTGATATCGCCGCCATTGTCGCCTATCAGGCCGCCCACGTACTCGTTACCCGACGCCGCGCCGGAGGCGACGCTGGCGTCCACCACGCCCACCGTGTTCTGACCAATGAGCCCCCCAACGTTGTCGCCGCCCGTCGCGCTGCCTTCCGCCATGCTGCCCCGGATCTCCCCTTCATCGTTGGATCCAATCAGCCCGCCGACGAAGTTGTTCCCGCTGGCGAAGCCGCTGGCGTCACACCGTGTCACGTCGCCGCGGTAGTTCCAGCCAATCAGTCCGCCAACAAAATCCTGAACGCCGGTGGCGTCTCCGCTCGCGCTGCAATCGCTGATGTCCGCATCGTTATATCCCATCAATCCGCCCACGTTAGCATCGCCGCTGGCGTCGCCTCGCGCGATCCCGCCCTCCGCGATTCCGTCATTGTGCCCGACCAGGCCGCCCACGTTTTCGCCGCCGGTGGCGGACCCGTTCGCGGAGCTCATGGCTATGGTCCCGGCGTTATTCCTCCCCACCAGGCCGCCCACGTTCTCGTTCCCCGTAACCGCGCCTTCAGCCGAACTGTTGCTGATGCTTCCCTCGCTGTCGCCTGCCAAACCGCCGATGTCGTCTTCGCCCGTCACCATGCCGGACGCGGCGCTGTCCTGTATCGCCCCGCCTTCTTCGTGGTACCCAACCAGGCCGCCCACGTTGTCGTTGCCCACCACCGCGCCGGTGGCCGTGCCGGCTGTGATCGCACCACCATTGTTGCGTCCGACCAGTCCCCCAACGTCGTCGGTACCGTGCACGGTTCCCGAGGCGCTGCTGTCGCTGATGTCTCCATCGTTGTAACCCACCAGCCCGCCGACTTTGTTGCTCCCGGCGACTTGGCCTTCCGCGGCGTTGTTGGCCAGCGTGCCCTCCCCGTTGCGGCCAATCAGACCGCCGATGTTGTCGTGACCCGTGACGGCTCCCGTGGCAAAACTGTCGCTGACAGCGCCTTGGCCGTTGTATCCGGCCAGGCCGCCCACGTTGTCCTGGCCCGTCGCGGAGCCTTGTGCGCTGCTGTTGCTGATCTCGCCGTCGTTGCGCCCGATCAGGCCGCCGATGTCAGTTCTGCCGGTCACGTCGCCGCGCGCGACGCTGTTGCTGACCGCGCCGCCGTTCCCTCTTCCCACCAGCCCGCCGACGTTGACGTTGCCCGACACCCGGCCGGCGGCCGCGCCACCGTCGATGTTCCCGTCGTTGAATCCAACCAACCCGCCGACAAAATCGTTCCCGGTCACGTCGCTGTCGGCGGAGCTGTCCCGCGCCGCGCTGCCGAAATTGCCGTCGATGCGCCCAACCAGGCCTCCAACATACCGGACACCGGTAACCGAGCCGCTGGCCGAACTGTCATTGATACGCCCGCCTTCCTTGTCGTCGCCGACGAGGCCTCCCACAAAATCGTTCCCGGTCACGGATCCTTCGGACCTACCGCCAATCACGCGGCCGCTTTCCTCGTTGTTGCCTACCAACGTGCCAACATAGTCGTGACCCGTTACCTCGGCTCGGCTCAAGGCGACGCTCCGTATCGTCCCGCCGCTGCTGAACCCGAAGAGCCCGACGTAGTCCTGTTCCGGCCGGGAAATGTACAGGTTGGAGATGGTGTGGCCGCCGCCGTCAAACGCGGTTTCAAACGCCTGCTGGTCATCCGCGCCCCGGTAGTGGCCGATTGGTTCCCACCCGGAACCGGAGTTCCAATATGTATCGCCCGAGTCCGCCTGCCCGTTGCCGTTGGTGTCGAAGTTCAGGTCGGCCACGAGTTCGTAGCCTTCGCACCCACCCATACGACATCCCATTCCTTCCGCCGGATCCGGGAAGGCCGCCAGGTATCCGGCCAGGCCGGTGTCTTCGTCCGCCACCCCGTCTCCGTCCATGTCGTATCGAATGGCGTCCAGTTGCGCCAGGTCGTAGATCTCAATCAGACCATCGTCATCCGAGTCATAATCACCGTCAACGGCGGCGACCGGTGCCGGGGTTGGCGATGCTTCGCGCTTGACGGCGGTTGTGGGCGTAGATTCCGGAGCTACCGTCGGCCGCTCGGCAGCGGTGCCCGATGGCGCGGTGCCCGATGGCGCGGCGTCGGACGCCGCCGTCGGCTTCGGTGGCTTGGTTGCCTCGCCTGGTGCATTCGAGGACGGTGTCGGGCGCTCGGTCGCGGAGGCGGCACTCCCCGTAGGAGTGGCGCCGCTTGCCGTCTCAGCCTGCCCAGAGCCATTGTCGCGCGGTTCCGGTTCTGGGTCGGAGCACGCCACCAGCAACGTCGCCAGCGTGAGAGCTCCCACTGCCGCCAATGCGATAGATCTCCACGATCCGTTGGTCCCCGGTGCCGTTCTACCTGCCGACGGTTTCATCGCAATGTACACCTGCTTGGGCGCTTGAAGAACGCGGCGCATTCATGCCACAACGCGGCGAGACCGTTCTATCCCGCCGGATTATACTTTCGAACTCACTTCGGCATTATACCGGGGTTTCATTCAGGGTCATTCGATTTTCCCAAATGTCATTGCGAGCGCAGCGTGGCAATCTCGTCGCGACAGCACGGCGGCTCGCCGAAAGCGGTTGCATCGCTCGGCTGCTGCCGCGCCATTCCATTCCCGACGGCGACAATCGAATGACCCTGGGCGTTCCATTCCGCGACATTGCAGCCCGTCACATCACTACCCGTGGGGGTTTCGGGTTATCATAAAGTGCAATGAGACAGGAGGAACAGAGATGCCCGAATATATTCCGTCAACTAGGGATTGGGTGCGTGAGCAGGTGGAGGCGTATGAAAGCAGCGGCGGCACCCAGGGGACCACGCTGCGTGATACCGGCCTCCCCGTAATCGTCGTTACCAACCGTGGCAACAAGACCGGGGCCATACGCAAGACCCCGCTCATGCGCGTCAAAGTCGGCGACGCCTACGTGCTGGTCGGCTCACAGGGTGGCGCCCCGCGCAATCCGGTCTGGGTGTATAACCTCCGTCGCGACGCCAACGTCGAAATCCGGGACGAGACCGACGTGTACACCATGCAGGTTCGCGAAGTTTCAGACCCGGACGAACGCGCCCGGCTTTGGGCCGCTTCCGTCGAGGCGTTTCCCCCTTACGAAGAATATCAGGGCCGTACCTCAAGAAAGATACCGGTTTTCGTCGCCGAAACCGCGTAATCGGATTTTTGGGTTTTCGGCTCGACAATCGCCTTCGGTGTCGCAGACGGCGCCGAAACCAGGCTTTTTTCGATTCAGGCGGCGAAAATCGTTGTTTGCTGCCGTTGATGCCAGTATAGTAGTGACAGCGAAGTTGCGCCGGTTCTCCTTCCTTGGGTATTGTAATCCTGTGCCCGACGAAACAGACCTAGCGTGTGCACCGTGATTACCAACCAGTCCGGAGGATGAACCGTGGCCCTTTCCGATATTACCCTTGAATGCAGCGACTGTGGAGCAGAATTTCTGTTCACCGTGGGCGAGCAGGAATTCTATGCCTCTCGAGGCTTCACCAACTATCCGAAGCGGTGCGTTTCATGCCGTAACGCCCGGCGGGGCCAGCCTCGTGACAACTTCGGCGGTGGCGGCGGTGGCGGCGGCGGCGGCGGCGGATACGGTGGGGGCCAGCGAGAGTCCTTTGCCATCGTCTGCAGCAACTGTGGCGCCGATGCAACCGTGCCTTTCCGCCCCCGCGGCGATCGGCCGGTTTATTGCAGCGACTGCTTTAGCCAAATGCGAAACTCCTGAGGCCGGCGGCCTGGCCTCAGTCTTGTATCCAATCTGAGGCCAGCGCCAACGCCATGCCCTTCAGGGACCTTCGCGAGTTCATCGCCTTTCTCGAAAACCAAGGCGACCTCAAGAGAATCTCCGCTCCCGTTAGCTCTGAGCTGGAGATCACCGAAATAGCCCATCGGCTCCTACGAGCCGATGGGCCGGCTCTGTTGTTCGAAAACGTGGTTGGTCACAGCATGCCCGTGGCCATCAACCTGTTCTGCTCCGAGCGGCGCATGAACTGGGCCCTGGAGGTCCAGGACGCTGACACCCTGGCCGCCCGTCTCGAAGCAATGATCGACATGGTCCAGGGCGGACCCCCACAAGGGATGCTGAACAAGCTGCGTACCCTTGGGCGTTTGGTCCACGTCGGCGCCTTCCAGCCCAAAACCGTCAGCGACCCCCCGTGTCAGCAGGTCGTCCTGACCGGAGAGGACGTCGACCTATACACCCTGCCGATCATCAAATGCTGGCCGCAGGACGCGGGCCCGTACATAACCCTGCCTCTGGTCATCACCCGAGACCCTGACACCGGCACGCAGAACTACGGCATCTATCGGATGCAGGTGTTTGACCGCAACACCACTGGGATGCACTGGCAGACCCATAAGGTGGGCGCGCGCCATTACCGGGCCAGCACCGAAAAGCTTGAGGTGGCTGTCGCCCTCGGCGGCGATCCGGCCTCGATATGGACCGGTTCGGCCCCCCTGCCGCCTGACATCGACGAGATGATTCTGGCGGGCTTCATTCGCGATCAGGGTGTCGAGTTGGCCCAGGCCGTGTCGGTTGACCTCAAGGTGCCGGCCCATGCCGAAATCGTCCTGGAAGGGTACGTCATCCCCGGCGAAGAACGGATGGAAGGCCCTTTCGGAGATCACACCGGCTACTACTCCCTTGCCGAACCCTACCCGGTTTTCCACGTCACCACCATCACGCGCCGCCACAATCCGATTTATCCCACCACCTTTGTCGGGCGGCCGCCCACCGAAGACTACTGGATGGGGAAGGTCACCGAACGCGTCTTCATGCCGCTGATACGCCTCATCCTGCCGGAGGTCGTCGACATTAATATGCCGGCGGAAGGTATTTTCCATAACCTGATCCTAGTATCGATGAAAAAGGAGTACCCCGGACACGCCCGCAAGGTGATGTACGGGCTCTGGGGCCTGGGCCTGCTCAGCTTGACCAAGGTCATCGTGGTCGTGGACGATTTCGTTGACGTCCAGAACCCATCCGAAGTGGCATGGCGCGTCGCCAACAACATCAACCCGGCCACCGATCTCGTCCTGGTTGATGGCCCCATCGACGACCTCGACGTGGCATCTCCTACCCCACGCTTTGGCAGCAAGGTCGGCATCGACGCCACCCGCAAGGGACCCGAGGAAGGCTATCATCGCCAGTGGCCGCCGGACATTGAAATGAGCCCGGATATCCGGGACCGGGTCACCGAGAGATGGGCCGAGTTGGGTCTGGGCGACATCATCCCTTCGGATCGGTCAGCCTCCTGACTTTCGCCATTGGCGGTTGAGACCAGCAGCCGTACCTCCGCGCAGGCTCATTCGATTTACCCAAATGTCATTGCGAGTTCTCAGGGTCATTCGATTTTGCTAAAAGTCATTGCGTTCGATTTACCCAAATGTCATTGCGAGCGAAGCGTGGCAATCCCGTCCCCGTAGCAATCGCTCTGCCCAAAAACCAATGCGTTGCCCCGCGGCCGCCGCCTGGCGACATTCCCCACGACGATAATCGAACGGCCCTGACCCTCCTCTTCGCGCGGCATCTGCTCCGAATCGCCGTGTGCTAACATGATCGCGTATGCGTGATTCCCCCGCACATTCCGGCCCTCTACGTGTCGTGGCGGTCAAGGTTCCCCACTACCTGAACGCCATCAACATTTCGGAATCGCTGTTCGCCATGCCCTTTGGTTACATCGGCATGGTGTTGGCGTCTCATTTCTCGGGCGGTAGCGGATGGCCTGGTTGGCACGTCTTCATCTGGATTACCGTGGCGTTCCTGGGCGTGCGCACCCTGGGAATGTCGGCCAACCGCATCATCAACGCCCGGGAAGATGCTCGCAATCCCCGCACCTCGGGCCGGCACCTGCCCGCCGGCATCCTGAAGCCGCTGGAGGTTGGCGGCATGGCCGCCGCCGGGGCGGCGGTCTTTTTCGTCGCCGCCTGGCAGTTGAACCCTCTGGCCCTGTTGCTGTCGCCGGTGGCCGCGATCTACGTGGTCCTATATTCCTTCTCCAAGTATTTCACCTGGCTGTGCAGCCTGATGTTGGGCCTCGCGCTTTCCATCGCCCCGTCGGGAGCCTGGATCGCCGTAACCGGTCAACTCGCCTGGCAGCCCGTTCTGCTCACCTTCGCGGTGATGATGTGGGCCGGAGGATTCGAAACAATCTACGGCAGCATGGACTTCGATTTTGACCGGGCCAACCGCATCAATTCCATCGCGTCTCGCTTCGGGGTTCGTAACGCCATCCGCACCACGCGGGTTTTGCACAGCCTGGCCGCGGCTGCCCTGCTGGCTTGGGCATCTGGATGGAGTTGAACGTCTTCTATTTCGTTGGCTGGGCGGTCGCCGTGATGTTGCTGGTATACGAAAACAACCTGGTCAAGACCGGCCAGCCGGCCATGGTCGGCAAGGCGTTCGCGTTCAACAAGTACATCTCAACTCAACTGTTGGCCTTCACGATCCTCGCGGTGGCCTTGCCGTTCGACGGCTTTTTCCCGTGGTAGCCAACTTCGACGCCACGACGGCCCATTCGCCCGCCGGCACGCGGGCTCCCATTCCAACCTGCGGCGCACGGATGCCGGCATGACGACACACTCGTCACCACCACTGGTCGTGGGGGTTACCGGAGCCAGCGGGTCGATCATTGCCCGCGAGCTCGTCGACGCCCTGCTGGAGCAGGAAACGCCGGTGGTGGTCGTCGCCTCCAACGCCGCGCGCATGGTGTGGCAGGAAGAGCTTGACGAATCCTACAACGCGGCAATCGCGCGCTGGACCGAGTATCCGCACTTCAGCGCTTACGGCATCACCGACCTGTTCGCTCCCATCGCCAGCGGCACCTTCCCCACAGCCGGCATGATCGTCGCTCCCGCCAGCATGAACTCCATTGCATCCCTGGCCCACGGTTTGACGCCGAATCTCCTGCTCCGAGCCGCCGACGTCACCATCAAGGAGAACCGTCGCCTTACCTTGATACCCCGGGAGACTCCCTTGCATTCCATCCATTTGGAAAACTTGCTGACCCTGTCGCGGCTGGGAGCCACTATCTTGCCGCCGGAACCCCCCTTCTATCTGAAACCGCTGGACATCGCTGGCGTGGTGCGTTTCGTCGTCCAGCGCGCGATGGTCGCCGCCGGTGTCACTGATCGCCTCCCGGACGACATGCAGTACCGGGACCACGAGCGATAACCGGGTTCCGGGGTCATGGTCAGGATCACATATTATGTGGCCGCCAGTCTTGACGGCTTTATCGCAGACGCCGCCCGCGGCGTCGATTGGTTGCCCCAGGGTAATTCGGACGACTACGGCTACGCCGGATTTTATGCCGGCGTCGAAACCCTGGTCATGGGCCGCCGCACTTATGACCAGGCGTTGACCTTCGGAGACTGGCCTTACCCCGGGAAAACGGCCTACGTGTTCACCCGTACTCCGCCCTCGGATGGCCCGCCGGAGGTGCGGTTCGTACAGGCCAATCCCCCAGACTTCGTCCGCGATATTGAGGAGCGCCACTCCGGCGCCGTGTGGCTGGTGGGCGGCGCCGACCTGGCCGACCAGTTTCGGCAGGCCGGGCTGATTGACGAATATCGGGTCTTCGTGGTTCCGGTTATCTTGGGACAGGGTGTTCCTTTGTTCGGTGGCCCGGGCGCACCCACCGTCCTCCAATTGGAATCGGCGGACACCCACGTTGATGGTCTGGTGGAACTTCGCTATCGCGCTTCCGAAACGGTTTAGTCCTATGGCCCACCTGAACGGCGACGACAAGCGGCGCTACGTGGCGGAGATGTTCGCGCGGATCTCGCCTCGTTATGACCTCATGAACTCCCTTATGACCGGCGGTCTGCACCACCGCTGGAAACGCGCCACTGCCAATCTGACCGTGCGGAACGCCGTCGGACCGGCGTTGGATGTCGCCACCGGGACCGGTGACCTGGCCTTCGCCCTCGCCGACTGCCCCAACGCGACGAAAGTCGTCGGCATGGATTTGTTGCCGGAAATGTTGTCCATAGCGAACCGGCGACGAGCCGCCAGACACGACCAAGGTAAACCCGTACAATTCGTCCAGGGTGACGCTCTGCGATTGCCTTTTCCGGACGGCTCCTTCGTCGGTGCCACCGCCGGCTTCAGCCTCCGCAACATGCCCGACGTGCCATCCGCAATCCGGGAGATGGCTCGGGTGGTTGCGCCCGGCGGCCGGGTTACCACGCTGGAGTTGACACCCATGCCCCCGGGAATTGCGTCCACCGTGGGCAGTTTCTATTTCCACCGCCTGGTCCCGCTGATGGGGCAAATCGTCGCCGGTGATCGGACCGCCTACACCTACCTGCCCAACAGCGTCGATTACTTCCTAACCGCCGACGGTTTGGCCGATGTATTCCGCCAGGCCGGACTGGTCGACGTCGGTTACCGTCGCCTGGGCCTTGGAGGCGTGGCTTTGCATTTCGGCGACCGGCCGGGGTGAGGCCCGGGCTCTCACCAAACTGCCGTATCCCGTTCTGTTGGTTCATTGAAAAGCCGCCTCTGTTACAGCATACTTCTCTGGCACACGCCGGGCTGCGCCATGAATCGGCGCGCCGGAGCTACAGGAGGCGGCCATGGGCCCCGATGAGCAGCAGCCTCTCGGTCGGGCAGAGCGAGAAGAACCGACCTTAGGACAGCGGATTGAAGGACATTTCCAGGGGAAGGTTCTTGCCGGCTTGATGCAACTGGTCCCCATCTTGGTGACTGTTTTTGTCCTCGCATTCATTATTGGCCATACCGACGGCTTTATCAGGCCTCTGCCTTTTGTCAAAGACAGGCCTTGGGACCTACCTGGTGTTGGTTTGATCGGCATTATTGTCGTTTTTTACCTGATAGGACTGTTCGTTTCTGTTGCGGTAGGTCGCCGTACCATGGGAGTGATGAGCTTTGTGCTCACCAAAATTCCGGTGGTCAAAACCATTTTCGGCGTTACCGAACAGGCGACTACAATCCTCGCATCGGACTACAATTTCAGCCGGGTGGTGTTCCTTGAGTGGCCCCGCGAGGGTATGGTCGCCATTGGCTTCGTGACTGGTCGGGCTTTCTCACAGACCGGAGGTCATTCGCTCGCGATCATTTACATACCCACGGTACCCAATCCGACGTCGGGCAACATGGCCTTTGTCAATGAAGACGATCTCTTCGAAACTGACCTCAGCGTGGAAGACGCTATCAAGTTGATCTTCTCTGGCGGTATAGTGTTGCCGGAGCGGTTGGCCATGGCGCGGCTCCCCCGGGACGTCGAGAAAAAGGAGCGCGAGTTCATCGGCCGGTTCGAAACCCGCCCCGAATAGACGCCAACCTTCGACCCAAAGACGGAAACCCGCCAAACTCGCGGAGAGCAGACAACAGTGGAATACGAAACCGTCATCGGCCTTGAGGTACACGTTCAGCTGGACACTAGAAGCAAAATGTTTTGCGCGTGTCCCGCCGATTACCAGGCCGCCGAACCCAACACCCGCACGTGCCCGGTCTGTCTCGGCCTGCCTGGCGCTTTGCCCGTCATCAATCGCCGCGCCGTGGAGTACACCGTGATGACCGGGTTGGCCCTCCACTGTCGTATCCCAGGGTTCACCAAGTTCGACCGGAAGAACTACCCCTATCCCGACCTGGTGAAGGGATACCAGATCTCCCAGTACGACCTGCCGCTCGCGGTGAACGGCTATCTGGAAATCGACGGCGACCCGGATTTGGAACATGGTCGCAGACCCATTGGTGTCGAGCGCGTGCACCTCGAGGAGGATGTCTCCAAGATGCAGCACTTCCCCGACGATGCCGAGGGCTATTCGCTGATCGACGTCAACCGTTCCGGCGTGCCGCTCATGGAAGTCGTCAGCAAGCCCGACCTGCGTTCCCCGGAAGAAGCGCAGCAGTATTTGACCTCCCTGCATTCCATGGTTAAGTACCTCGGCGTTCCACCGCGAACATGCAGGACGGCAACTTCCGCTGCGACGCCAACGTCAGCATCCGCCCCGCCGGCAGTGACACCTTGGGCACCCGCACCGAAGTCAAGAACATGAACAGCTTCCGTGCCGTCTACCTCGCCCTGGAATACGAGGTCGAGCGCCAACGGCGCGTGATCGAGGACGGTGGCGCCGTAGTGCAGGAAACCCGCGGCTGGGTGGAGGAACGGAGCGCAACCGTGTCCCAGCGCAGCAAGGAATACGCCCACGACTATCGTTACTTCCCGGAACCCGACCTACCCCCCCTCAATATCGGCTCCGAATGGGTGGACCGGTTGCAGTCGGCGCTCCCCGAATTCGCCCCCCGGCGCAAGGCCCGCTTCCAGGAGGACTACGATCTTTCTGAATACGATGCCGACCAGCTCACCGCTTCCCGGGCCCTGGCCGACTACTTCGAGGAGACGCTGGCGCTGCGCGCCGCGCCTGAAAGCCGTCCCGCCGCCGCCAAGGAAATCGCCAACTGGATGCTGGGCGACCTCTCGTATCTGCTCAATCAGGACCACCGTGATGTCGCTGACTCCCCCGTGACTCCTGGCGGATTGTCCGAGCTGTTGGGCCTCATCGCCGACGGTACCCTGTCCACCTCTCTGGCCAAAACCGTGTTGGAGCAGATGTACTCCACCGGCTCGGCCGCGGTCGACATCGTGCGGGACCAGGGCCTGGCTCAGATCAGCGATACCGGCGCCATCGAGGCCGCCGTTGCTGAGGCCATTGCCGCCAACCCCAAGGCGGTCGCCGATTACCTCAGCGGCAAGGAAACCGCCGCGCGCTTCCTCATGGGCCAGGTCATGCGTCTCACCAAGGGCCAGGCGCAGCCCGAACTGGCCCTGCAACTCGTCCAAGCCGGGCTCGAGGCTCAAAAGCCCTAGCGTGGTACAATCATCGCCGGAGAATCCACATGAGCCTGCTCAACATCGCCCAGATTGTTACCTCGATCGTGCTGGTCCTGATCATCCTGTCCCAGGTGCGGGAAGCCGGCTCCGGCATGTTCGGCAGCGCTCAGAACACCGTTCGGACGCGACGAGGACTGGAACGCACCATGTTCCAGTTGACCATCGCATTGATAGTGGTATTTCTGCTGGTATCGGTTCTCAGCGCGCGCTTCACCGGTTCCTGACGCCGCCGCGACATTGGGCCGGGTCCAATTGTCCCCTCCGCCCATAGTTCTCGCCACCGACTTTGGCCTCGCTGATGCCTACGTGGGCATGATGCGGGGGGTCATATTTTCGATCAACCCCCACGCCTCGGTCATTGATCTGACCCACGGCATCGCCCCCCAGGACGTGTGCCACGGAGCCGTGGCCCTGAGCGACGCACACCCCTACTTCCCTGAACGCAGCATTTTCGTAGCCGTGGTCGACCCCGGCGTTGGCACCGACCGATTTGCCGTCCTCCTGGAAACCCCCGACCACCGCTTCGTCGCGCCGGACAACGGCCTGCTGACCCTGGTGTGTCGGCGGTACGATTCCCAATTCGGCGCCGGGGATGTCTCGGGTCCCGCAACCCTCCCCGACGGTTGCCGCGCCTGGCGCCTGACCAACCCCGGATATTGGCGCCATCCTGTCAGCGCTACCTTCCACGGCCGCGACGTTTTCGCTCCCGTGGCCGCCCACCTGTCCGCCGGCGTAATCCCTGACATGCTCGGCGACCCCACGCCTGTCATCACCGCGTTGTCGCTGCCGCCTCCGCGACCCGCTGGCAACTCGGTCCGCGGTCAGATCGTCTTCGCCGACGCCTTTGGAAACCTGGTCAGCGACATCACCGCCGAAATACTGTCCAACATGGGCGTGCCCGCGAGGGAACCCGAAGCGGTGGTCAGCATCGCCGGGCACGAAATCATTGGGCTGTCCCGGACGTTTCACGATCCGCCTGGAGACGGGCTGCGCGCCTTGGTGGGCAGCCACGGACGTTTGGAGGTCGCCCTGGTGGACGGCAGCGCGTCGGCTGCCCTGGGTGTGGCCAGCGGAACGGAGATCGTGCTTCGCGTGGGTTGATCGGGCGTCCTGTGGCGATGCGCGTCTCCACTGCCGCTTCCGCCAACAGGGTCCGTTGAACGCGGGAACCTGGGTGCGTGATCTCTTGTTGACACCCCCCGGCCCCATGCTACTATGGGGCCATCTCAAAGCCGGCGCCATGTCGTCGGCTTTTATCTCACTGGGCGTCAGCCGTCTATCGAAATACGTCTGAGCCACGAGGAGCGTGTTGCCATGGAACTCGACCGCGACACCTTGCTGAAACTCTACCGAACCATGACCACCATTCGCCATTTCGAGGAACGTGGCGTGCCCGAGACCGGACAACGCGGAATGTCCTCCTCGGTCCACTCTTCCGTCGGTCAGGAAGCCGTCCCCACCGGCGTGTGCGCCCATCTGTCTGACGAAGACTACATCGGCAGCACCCACCGTGGCCACGGCCATTGCATCGCCAAGGGCGTGGATCCCAAGCGCATGATGGCCGAGCTCTTCGGTCGCACCCACGGCCCCAACAAGGGTAAGGGTGGCTCCATGCACATCGCCGACATGAGCAAGGGAATGCTGGGAACCAACGGCATCGTGGCCGGCAGCGTGCCTCTCGCCGTCGGAGCGGCGCTGACCTCCAAGATCCGCAAACTGGGTCGCGTGGCCGTGGCGTTCTTCGGCGACGGCGGCGCCAACCAGGGTGTGCTCCACGAATGCATGAACCTGGCGTCCGTTTGGAAACTGCCGGTGATCTTCTGCTGTGAGAACAACGGTTATGCGGAATCCACGCCGGTGGAGTACGGGCTTTCCGTCGCCAACGTCTCTGATCGGGCCGCGGCCTACGATATGCCCGGCTTTAACGTCGACGGCATGGATGTGCTGGCGGTCTTCGAAGCGGCCGGCGAAGCCGTGGCCCGCGCCCGCGCCGGCAATGGCCCGGCTCTGCTTGAAGCCCGCACCTATCGTTACTACGGTCACACGGTTTTCGACAATCCGTTGACCTATCGCACCAAGGAAGAAGAGGATCACTGGCGAGCCCGAGACCCCCTGCTCACGTTCCGCAACCACATGGTCGCGCAGGGCAACGAAATCACCGCCGAGGAACTCGACGGGATGGATGAGGAAGCTCGCTTGTTGATGGAAGAGGCGGTGGTTTTCGCCGATGCCAGCCCGCTGCCCGAGCCCCACGAGCTCTACGAGGACGTGTACGGCGATTACCCCGTGGAAATGATGCGCCGCGGCGCCAACATGCCAGTGTAATCCCGGCCAGCGTTTGTTGCTGAACACTGCCTGGCGATACGTCCCGCGCCGCCAATGACGTCCCGATTTCCCCAATTGCTGGGAGGCCGAACATGACAACCCTCACCGAAACGCCCATGCTTCCTCCGTCCGGGGAAACCAGGATCCTGCAAACTCGCGAGGCCATCAATGAGGCCTTGATTCAGGAAATGCGCCGCGACGAAACCGTAATCATCATGGGCGAGGAAATCGCCGGCGGCGCCGGCCGCGAACACCTGGGCATCGTTGACGCCTGGGGCGGTGCCTTCCGCACCACGCGGGGCCTCATCCAGGAGTTCGGCAACGAGCGCGTGCTGGATACCCCGCTCTCCGAAGCCGCCTTCGTGGGAACCGCCATTGGCGCTGCTTCCACCGGTATGCGCGCCGTCGCCGAGCTCATGTTCGTCGACTTCATCGGCGTCTGCATGGATCAGCTGCTGAACAACGCCGCCAAGATGCGCTACATGTTCGGCGGTCAGGTCAAGGTGCCCTTCGTCATGCTGACCCGGATCGGCGCAGGATTCGGCAGCGCGGCCCAGCACTCCGAATCCTTCTACTCCATCTTTAGCCATATCCCCGGCCTCAAGGGAGTTTGCCCGTCCGACGCTTATACCGCCAAAGGTCTGCTGCTCGCCGCCATCCGCGACGACGATCCGGTGATCTTTTTCGAGCACAAGGGATTGTACGGAGATACCTGTGCGGTCCCCGAGGAAATGTACACCCTGCCCCTGGGCAAGGCCCGCACCGTGCGCCCCGGAACCGACCTCACCCTGGTGGGCATCAGCAAGATGACCTGGGTTGCTGTCGAGGCCGCCGAAGAACTGGCCAAAGAGGGTATCAACGCCGAGGTCATCGACCTGCTCAGCGTATCGCCCATCGATTACGACCACGTATTGGACTCGGTCCGCCGCACCCATCGCCTCTTGGTGGTCGACGAGGACACCCCGGTTTGCAGTATCTCATCCGATATCTGCGCCCGCGCCGCCGAGGAAGCTTTTGACTACCTGGACGCTCCTCCCTCGCGGGTTACACCGCCCCATACCCCGGTCCCGTACAGCCGCGCCCTGGAAAATATCTACCTCCCCAACGCGGAGCGGGTGGTCAACACCGCCCGCAGATTGATGGCCTAGTTGGAAAACGCAGGGGCGGGCGGCAAACCCGCCCCTTTCTTTGTATGACAATCAGTTGGAACCATCTGGAGGCTGAACCATGACCACCGTCGGCAGCGGAAAGCACACCTACACGCTGACCTCTGATTGGGCGAAGATGCCCGATGCTCATCCCCTGGGAGCGGTCAGCGCCCTGGCCAGCGATTCCGCCGGCAGCATCTACGCGTTTCACCGCGCGGACCCGCCCGTCGCCATCTTTGACCGGGAAACCGGCAATTTCACCGGCGGCTGGGGCAACGGCTCATTCGTCTACGCCCACGGCTTTTACATCGAGGACGACATCGTGTACCTGACCGACCGCGATACCTCGGTGTGCATCATGTATACGCTCGACGGCAAGCCAATCCAGATGCTGGGTCGGTACATGGTCCACTCCGACACCGGAGCCGACGTGGCCGGACAGTTGGTCCCTCGCGCCGCCGGGCCCTTCAACTACCCCGCCGAACTGGTGCCTTCCCCCAGCGGTGACCTCTATGTCGCCGACGGTTATCGCAACGCCCGGATCCACCGCTTCGACAACGACGGCAAACTCAAATACTCGTGGGGCAAGCCGGGCAAGGAACATCCTTACGAGTTCCACCTGCCCCACAGCCTGCTGGTGACCCGCGACGACCGCGTGTACGTCTGCGACCGCGAGAACAGCCGCGTCCAGGTCTTCAACACGTCAGGGGACTTCCTCACCATGTGGACCGACACCTGCCGTCCCACCGACATCGCGGAGACCCCCGAAGGTGACTTCGTGGTCAGCCAGCTGGCCCCGTTGGACGAATCGCACCCGCCGCGGGTTGCGATATTCGACCGCGACGGAAATGTGCTGGCCCGTTGGGACAGCCGCTCCGCCCACGGAATCTGGTGTGACGCCCACGGGGACATTTTCCTCGCGCTGACCGGGGACAAGGCCGTGGACAAATACGCCCGTGGCTGATTGTCGCGGGGTTCCAGCCGAACTACCGGAGGGGGCGGACCATAACCGCCCCCTTTTGCTGTGAATCGATCTGCTACAATCGGCGCAACCATCACTACTGATGGACGACGGCAGGAGAATATTGCTATGGATCTTGGTCTTTTTTACCAAATTCAGGTTCCCAAGCCGTGGGACGACGAGAGTGAAACTCGAAAGTTCCAGGAAATGATGGAACAGGTTTGTTTCGCCGAAGAGATCGGCATGACTTCCGTATGGTTCGTCGAGCACCATTTCCGATCTGAATGGTCCCACTCTAGCGCACCTGACATAACTCTGGCGGCCCTGAGTCAGCGTACCACCAATATGCGCTTGGGAATCGCTGTCGTGTTGGCGCCGCTGCATCACCCGTTGCATGTTGCCTCTCGCCTGGCCACCCTCGATGTGATCTCCGGCGGGCGGGTGGATTTGGGAATCGGCCGTTCCGGTTATCCATACCAGATGCTCCCCTACGGTTCGGACCTGGCGGACGTGTCCGAAATGGTGGAAGAATACCTCCAAATCATCCCCGGCGCATGGACTGAAGAGACCTTCGGGTTCGAAGGCAAGCACTACCAAATCCCGCCGCGCGAGGTAATTCCCAAGCCGGTACAGAAGCCGCACCCTCCGATTTGGCAGGCGGTCAGTCAGGAGTCCACGGCCGAGAAAGTGGGTCGCCAGGGGCTCGGGTGTTTGGCCCAGACCAGCGTTGGCCTGGACCGGGCGGAAAACCTGATCCGCATTTACCGCGACGCCATCGCCGATCCGGAGCCGGTTACCAAGCTGGTGTATCCGCGCGTCGCCGGCAACACCGTGGGCCTGTGCATGGAGGATCGCCAAAAGGCGTTCGAACGCGCTGAGACCATCATAGATTGGTATCGGGAGCAGCAACGCATTCGCGATTCATACGTATGGCAGGGCTACGACCCAGCCCGGGTGCCCGAAGACTACCAGTGGCACTACCAGCGTGCGGTCAACGCCGACACCGCCCGGGCTGACGAGGCCAGTTCACGCAAATTGATCGACGAAGGCGGCCGGTTCTGCATCGGTGACCCCGACGACTGCATCAAATACATTGAAGATTATGAGCGCATGGGCGTGGACGAGATCATGCCGCTATTTCAGGTCGGTCCCGTGGCCCATTCTGAGGTGATGGAAACCCTGCGGCTGTTTGGCAAATACATCATCCCGCACTTCAGGGAAAAGGCGCGCCGAGAACAGCTAGCCGCCGACAACTGACAGCTTTATGACCACGCCGAATTGCGTGCGCGGTTCGGCGCGGGTCTGAACAACAGGAAGGGCGGGTTATAAACCCGCCCTTCCTGCGCGTTTGTATTTGCCTGACCGTTAGCGGGCGTACTCGCCACCCCCCGCTCCGTTGCCGTAACCGTTGCCATAACCATACTGCTGGTGGTCATCGGTGGCTATTCGGGAGCGTTCGCGTTCGAGCCGCACTTGCTGGCCCCGCGACACGTACCCATACTGGGTTTCCGCGTCGTGGCCGTTGACCGGCGGCATGAAATGGCGTGAGCCAAAGCCGGCGTATTCCAACGTCCCTGCCAACTGCATCGGGGTGTTGTCATCGCCCATGATGTCGCTGATGGTCGGAATGTTGCCGTTCTGCAGCGGGAAGAAGAGGGATACGTGCATGTGGCGGTCGTCCGGCGACTGCTGGAAGTTCGACGACGCGAACGACCACATGACGTTCGGGTAGGCCACGTCGAAGTCTTCACGGTGCATCTGATCCTGGACATCGGCGGCTATTTCAGCCAGCCCAGATGGCTCAACCGGCAAAGTGATCACCATGCGCATCACGGTGTCGCCTTCGGGGAACGGATGCTTCGCCAATTGCAGGTCGGTGCGCTTGGGATCCATGATGTCCCACATTGCCGATTTAATCGCGAATGGCAACTGTTTGGCGTTGTCGTTGACCACCACTATTTCGCGGCCCCGGAAAGGACCGAATAGCCGGGATCCATTGCGAGTATCCGCTATGTCAACCCGCCGGTTGAGAACGCGAACCCCGAACCAGCCGTTGGAGTAGTCACCGAAGCTGTTGATCGTCTCCGCCATCGAACCGGCGTCAATCTGGTACCGCATGCCGGCTTCCATCGAAGCCAGCGCGACGGCCAGTTTGTCATCCAACCGCTCGAAGTTGGGAGACAGACCGTTGTCAGTGATCAGCGCCGGATGACGCTGCAATTCCTGGACGCCGAGGCTGTTGCGGACCAGGCGGGTGCCAATGGTTTCTTCATACGCGCCCCACGTTTCGCGGCGCATGTTCTCCTTGAGAACCGCTTCGCTGGGCACCAGAACGATGGGCAGGAACGTGGCTTCAGGGAAACGGTCGCGCATCATTCCATGCAGGACACCGCCCAGCTTGGCATGCCCGCCGAAGCCCAACCATTCTAGGATCAGCTGCGGGGGAGAACCGACTTCCTCGGACCGGCGCGCAACGGTTTCCACCATGCGCTCCATATCGCGATGGATCAAGCCATAGAAGTCCTTGTAGGCATTGGGATCGCGCAGGAAACCGTCTACCTTGGGCAGGAAGCCCGGAATTATCACCGGCAACTGCCCGCCACGCACGCGGCGCATGGAACGAGTTTCGTTATCGATGGAGTCGATGGTTCCCTGGTTGCAGTCATACATCAGGAGGCTCTGCACGCGGTCCAGACCCCGGCCTCCCCCATACGCTTGGCCCACCTCCAGCTACGCTTGTAGCCGGCGGTGCCCACCGCTATCGAAACAATCGGCGGCGGAGTGCCATCGCGTGTAAGGTCGCTTTGCGTGCCCAGCCTATGTGGGGTGTTACGACGAATGTGGAAAGTGCGATTCTGATTTTTCGGCGGCATAGTTATGTTTACCCCCTTTTTGACTTGGGAGAAAATGACCCGTTAGCAGGCAAACTGACGCTTCAGCCTAGACTAATTTCGGTAGACTTCGCAGACGTCCGGCTTTTGGAATTCTCCCGACCGGATGGTTCACACCAATCTGCGCGGCATAGTTGTACACGTTGACAGTAACAGGGGCAACTATACCAGATGAAAACTGTTACGTCAAACGGATTAGGTTGCCCACAATTCAAAAAAAACGCTAGACTTACTATACATATCGGACATGCTGTTGTCCGTTATCTTCGATTTCCGTATTGTCACCCCCTGGCGGCAATAACGGATTGTACGCCGGGTCGCGCAGGTGAAAATACGATCCGAATCCCGTCTCTGACCTCATCGCGGCGGCGTGTGGAAGCGTCACGCCTCCGCCCCGGAGTATCGCCGTGACCGTCTGCAATTCGCCGTTCACCGGATATATCCTGGTAACGTGCATATATGGTTCCGGCTCGATGCCGTCCGTGAAGCGGGCGGTGTTGAACGCAATGTCCAGGTTGGTGAACCGGTCGAATATATTGCTGTGATCGAGGGCCTCCGCCGCCTGCGCCGCTACGGGCTCCAGCTCATCGCCGTGCAGTGGCAGCGAAACGACTATCTCTTGCGGAGCGTGCGGCGGTTGATTGATCCCCTCCGCTAGTTGGGCTGCCGGATCCAGGGTCGACCAAATTGCGTTCCCCAAAAGTGAGGACAGGTCGTCGTCCGGCCCCACTGCGGCGTACTGGCGCCACCAGGGCGGGAAGTTCAACCACTCGAACTTCTTCGTGATTGGCATTTTGCGTTTTACCGCAGCCATGCCGAGCCAGCCCCCCGAAGCCGGTGTCAGGCGCCTCAAGGTTACCCCCAACTGGCTGACGGAGGGATCGTTTTCTTCGCCGAATTCTGCTACCTCAAAGCCGGCTAGTCCCGTCGCCAGCCGGACGTCGTCTTCACGCGCGTTGACATCCGATTGCGTAGTGACCAGGCAGTTCGAGCCGGACAGCAGCTCTTCGTATTGCTCCCAGATGTACCGCTTGGTCCACTCCTCTGATACGTGGTCCTTGGGCAGCATCATGACCGGCAGGATGGCGGAGTTGGGGAACGCGTTCCGCAGCTTCTGGTGCAGGATGCCGCCGAGCACCGCGTGCCCGGAAAACCCCATGAACTCAATTATGGTTTCCGGAACCCGGCCGCAACGCTCAGAGTGCATCATCACTTGGCTGATGATATTGTCCATGTCCCGTTCCAGCGGCCCCAGGAAATCTCGAAACCGCTTCGGGTCACGCATGAAACCGTTGGGCATCGGAACGTAGTTGGGGAAAAGTACCTGGGTACCGGCGCCCGTACGGGCAGCCCCGAACGACTTTTGCAACGTCTTCTGCACGTTGGCTATCGTGACTTCGTTGCAGTCATACCCGACTACCGTCTGGATGCGGCCGGCGGCGGATAGCTCGGACATCCGCTGCGCAAATAGCATGGAGCGGCGTACACCCGCGGTGCCCATGCCCACCACAACCAGCGTCGACGGAGCGCTCGTCACCGCGCCGCGCTTGGCGGTGTGGAGCAGGCGATGGTTACGGCTGCGCGCTCTGACGAAGGCTGATGGCATGACGAAACGAAACGTAAATCCCAATGATTAGCCGACGACATCCCCAATCGGACGCCGTCGGCTCTATTCTAACGCCGATGCCCGCAGTACGCCAAGCAGACGCCAGCGCCGGTTTGGACGATTTGTACGGCCAGGTCCCGGGTTCTAGTCCCCCGGGTTCTAGTCTCCCGGCTTCAGGAACGTCAACACCGCGTCGACGAACCCTTCTGGGTCCTCGATCTGCGGAATATGTCCCACCCCCGGCATGATGTGCTTGCGGGCGCGGACGATGTTGTTGTGCAGTAGTTCCTCTCCGTCGCGCAGTCGGTCGACTTCACCGTACAGCACGAGAGTCTCCCGGGCATTGATCCGAGGCAGCCTGGTCATGATGTCGTACCAAGCCAGCGATTCGTGCAGCTTTTTGACCCAGGCGCCCGCCTGTGCCCTCGTGCCGTTGTTGGCGTCGACCCATTCCTGCCGCGGTTCGGCAAACGTCGTCGACTCCTTGGCCTGTTCCATGGTTCTGGCCACCGGCATGCCGTCAGCGTCGTAACCCGCCGCCGACTCCGCGATTCGTTCCGGAGCCGTCCGGGCATCCCATACCGGGGCGCCCACCAGGACCAGCTTGTCCAGTCTGTCCGGGAATGAGGCCGCCATTTCAGTAGCCAGTACCGCCCCCACCGAATTGCCCACGTAGTGCCCTCGGTGTATGTTCAGTATCTGGCAGGCATCATCGAGCGCTTGAGCGTAATCCGGCATGTTGAAATGCCGGGTGGGTTTGTCAGACTCGCCGTGCCCCAGCATGTCGAATGCGTAACAGGTGTAGTGTTGGCTGAACGCATCTATGACGGAACTCCACGCCCAGGTGGATGTGCCCAGAGGATGCAGCATCACGAGCGGGTATCCGGCACCTTGTTTGACAAAGTGCATGTTGCCTTCACGAGTGGGGACGGTGTCGGTAAGGTCGCGCCGCACGAACATGATCGTGGCCTCCTCAGGGTCTGTGGCCGAATTGAACTCAAAATCGCGCCCGAGTTGGCCGGGCGGTTGCGGCAATGCTAGCGACGGCCCCGGACAAAGTCAATCGCGCGCTCCCGCTCGCTAGGTTCGTTCGATTTTTCCAAATGTCATTGCGAGCGCAGCGTGGCAATCTCGTCGCCGTAGCATGGGCCCTTGCCGTAAGCGGTGGTTCGGGTCCTTTACCGGCACGTCGTATCGTTTCTAACGACAACAATCGAATGACCCTACCTGCTCGCACCGATGGCCCTGCTGCTTGGGACCGTTCCAGCCCAAAACTAAAATCGCCGGGGGACAATGCCCCCGGCTCACTTATCCGGTATTCGTGTGCAGCCCGGTAAAGGCTAGTCCGCCGCCTGCGGAGCGAAATCCTCGCGTACCATCGGCGTTGCAGCCTGACCGTTCTTTTCATGCCGACGCAGGATGAAGCGGGGCACTACGACCCAAAGGGCGAAAAGTCCAACAAAAGCGGCTCCGGCGGCGATGGCAATCATTTTTTCTGTCTCCAAGCGGGTTGGTGGGACGCTGCCCGTTTCGTTAGACACAGTATCGCGGCTGGTTGTTACGCGAATTTTGCGCCAATGTAACGACTGTGTTACCGATCGGCTCGACACAGTCCCCGCATGGTTTCGGTCAACATGGTCTCGGTCAGTCCTGTTGGGCTCTGACGCCCAGCCACCAGTGTTTCCCCTTGCCCCGGCGCTTGCGTAGGTATCCTCGTGCCCTTAATTCGAGGCCAAACTTCCGTTGGCTGTGGGCCAGATAACCCTGCTCCAGGCACCAACTAGCGTATGAGGTATACAGGTCGCTGGCCAGCGACATCGCTTCCCCGTCGGTTGAGCACGCGTCAGTGACGAAATCGTCTATCGGGCCACACTCGCTGGCTTGCGAGGCCACTGTCACCGCCGGTTGGGGAGGTCCATCCGGCGCGATCCACCCTGACCCCGGCTCTGGGCCGGACGCTGCCGGTCCGGGTCGTCGCAGCCGTCCCGACCCGCTGCCGTATCCCGCGATTGCCGGACCCTCCCCGACTGCGGCGTGTGAACCCGCCGGCGCCATGTCTGCGAGGGCTGTGTAATCGCCCTTTGGCGATGCTGGCGGCGTCCGGAACCGGTATGCCATCCACGCAATAGGACGCGAAAAGAATCAGGTCCAGATAGGTTGTCAGCCCGCCCAGATGCCCCCAGCGGATCTCCCGCCCATTCCAGCCGGAAACATCGAAGGTGAGGCCCAGCGCCGGACAATCGAAGTCCTGGCGGTATTCGACGGGAACCACCCAGGTCGGATTCAGCAGTTCTCGCTCCAAGCTGTGCCCGATAACAAAACAGACCGCCCGCGCGGCTCTTACGTTGGGGTCGGGTTCCTCCAGCGGCTCCTCTGCGGAAACCCCGTCCAGTTCCCGTTGGGTCTGCAGCGCGCACACGGCAAACGCCGCGCGGACCTGGTTGCCGGCGCACCGGATCAGTCCCGGCTGATCCGACATCTCCAGCGGGACGCTGGCGTCCACTACCTGTCCCTCCGTCAAATGGACTTCGGTGCTGGCCGGCACGAACGCTGCCCTGATCAGTCCCCGGTGAGCGGCGGCGTAGAACGCCATGGCGACGCACAGGTTCTCCCGGGCCAGGCGAATGCGCTGGCCGGGTGACAGCGCGGATGTCAACGGAGAGTAACTCAACGAGCCAATCGAGAAAGAACCAATCGACCAAGAGACAATCGAGGATAAGCCAATCGAGGAAGGGGCGGATATTCATCCGCCCCTGGAGCGCCGGGTTATTTGCCCACGATGCTTGCAGCCTACGTGTTGATGTCCATCACCACCTTGATGATATTGTCCTCGCGCTGCTCGTACATATCGTAGGCGCTCTGGATGTCGGAGAACCCCACGCGGTGCGTGATGAGCTCCGCCGGGTCGGCCCAGCCCCGCGAGCGCAGGTCCACCATATCCTGGATCTGGCTGATGGGGTCACCGCTGCGGGCCCCGGTCGTCGGAGTGATCCGCGGCTGTTTGTCCATCCACAGGTTGTGCTCAATGGGCACCATGTGGTCGGTCTGGATCCCGAAGATGATGACCTGCCCGAACTGGCGCACGTGTCGGAAGCACTCATTGAGGGAATCCGGATAACCCGCCGCCTCGACGCAAACGTCCGGACCCCCGTCCCTTGGTGATCTCCATCACCGCCTCATGCACATCCTGCTTGTCCGGGTTGATCCGGTGCGTGGACCCCATCTGCTTCGACTTTTCGAGCCGATAGTCCAGCGGATCCACCACGGTGACGCTGCGGGCGCCCATGCGGGACAGGATCATGGTGAAGCTCAGGCCGATGCTGCCCTGGCCGAAGATCAGGATGTTCTGCTGCAGCGGACTCCCAATCTGCCGGCAGGAGTACAGCACGGTCCCCGGCGGCTGGCACATCACCCATTCGTCCAGTCCCCCCTCATCGGGCAGCAACGCCAGCCGGCCCGGCTCGGACAGCACGTACTCGCAGAGCCCGCCCGTGCCGGCGTAGGGAATCGTGATGACCCGTTGCCCCTCCTGGAATTCGTCGGTCTTGCTCTCGATGATGATGCCGGCAAGCTCATGCGCCCCGCGACACGGCGCCAGCGGGTATTCCGATTCGTCCAGCACCGGGCCGTAGGTGTGACGGATGTCCGAGCCGCAAACGCTGACGGTCTCCATCTTGATCAGGACCTGACCATCGGCCGGGGCCGGGGTTTCCACCTCGGTGAATTCCCATCGCTTGGGGGCTACCAGTTGGGCTGCTTTCATTTGGGGTTTGCTCCTTTGATGTAACGCGAAAGGTTGTGCAACTCGTGCACCACCCGGCAATCATAGTACGCGGGCCAATTTACCGGCAAGGCCAATCTACCGCTCACGCGTACCCGCTTTGCACAATCTGCCATTCCGAGCCACATCTCGCTCATCGCGAACCACCCCTCGGTCATTCCGAGCGACCCCTCGGTCATCGCGAGCGGCCCATCTGTCATTGCGAGCGCAGCATGGCAATCTCGTCGCCGGAGCGACCCTCGCTCAATTCAACGCGATCACCACGTCGCTGCGCTCCTCGCGATGACAAATTGGGTACGCCCTGAGCAATTTAGCGTCCAGGCAAGACGCGCTGTTTGCTACCCGATTGGTCGGTTGGTGACCTCGCGGTCCACCTTCCGGGATATCCACTGGCCGCGGCCGGCGGACGCCATGAGCTGGCCGTCTTCCACGGCGACAGCGCCGCGCATGATCGTCATCACCGGCCATCCTTCGATCTCGAAATCTTCCCAGATGCTGTAGTCGCTGATGTGAAGGTCGTCCATGCTCAGGCGTTTCTTGATCGATGGATCGATGATGGTGATGTCAGCGTCGCTGCCGGGAGCCAACACCCCCTTGCGAGGGTAGAGCCCGAAGATGCGGGCGGCGTTGGCCGAGGTCACGTCCACGAATCGCTGCAGGGACATGCCGCGCTTGGACACGCCCTCGCTGTAGGTGATGCCCACGCGGGTCTCGGCGCCGTTGTGCCCGCCGGTGACATCGCGCACCGTCTTGCCCGCAATCTTCAGATTCCAGTCGGTGCAATACTCATCGGTGGCCATGGTGTGCAGGCCGCCCCAGGCGATGCCCTTCCATAGCATCGCCGCGTCTTCCGGCGACTTGAGAGACGGGTAGGTGTGGTACTTCATCCCGTCCTCTTCCTTGTAGTTGTTGGCGTTGAAGCAGGCGTAGTTGTGCAGCGTCTCGCCATAGATCGCCATGCCCTTGTTGCGGGCCTCGCCGATGGCGTTGATCCCCTCGCGCGCGCTCACATGCACGAAGTAAACGGGCGAGCCGGTCCATTCGGCGACGCGCAGCACCCGGCGGAAGGATACGTCCTCCGATTCGTTGCTGTGGACTTGGGGCATGTTCCACCACTCGTTCCGCTCCTCGCGCTGGCAGCTTTTCGTACATGTACTGCACCATGTCGTCGTCTTCCGAGTGGACGAGCAGCATGGCGTCGTTGCGCTGGATGACCTCCATCAGATCGTGAAGGTGGCCCATGCCCACCTTGCGGGGCTCGCCCGACATCTCGGGCGGGCGAATGTTGGTGGTGAAGATCTTGACGCTGGACCAGCCTCCCTCAATGTACTCGTGGAGCGATTCCAGCGTCCGCTGGGGAATGTCGCCGAGCATCATCAGGTGGTGGGCGTAGTCGGCGTAGGAGTTGCCGCGCCAGGAGTTCGCTCGCTCCTGGATCGCCTCTTCTATCGTGTTGCCCGGGTGGTGGATGGCGAAGTCCATCAGGGTGGTGGTGCCACCGAACAGGGCGGCCCGGCTCACCTGCTCCGGCGGCGCGGTCCGCAGGTTGCCCGGCCCCATGATGGGCGCGTCGATGTGGGCGTGAGGCTCGATGCCCCCAGGCACAACAACCTTGCCGGCAACGTCGATAATCCGCCCGACGTCATCAGTCATCGTGTTCGGCGCGGTGATGGCGACGATCTTATCGCCCTGGATGCACACGTCCCAGTCGCCCACGCCCCAGGGCGTGACGACCTGGCCGCCTCGTATGATCAGGTCCAGCATAATGTTCCTCCGTAGAAGCCATAGACGGCAAACGTAGAAGCCGTAAGCCGGCGAAAGTTATTCGGTCGAACCGGCCCGGCGGCGCCAGTATAGCGCAAAAGGTCGCCGGGTTGACGGGATTTGCCCCGACTACCGGAAGGAGGGCTGACCCCAGCATCAGCAATCGTTGGGCCGGGCCGGCGAACCGCGAGCTACATATTGCGCTCCCAAGGGTCTGATGAAGTCGTTGTAGAAATGGTCTTTCGCGATCCATTCCAGGCGACGAAAGCGAATACTGCGATCACAATCAGTATGACTACAATCAAGGCTATGGTGCTCCACATCCACCAGCTCACTCCGCCGCTATCGCCGGATTGCCACCTCAACTTCAAGCAAGCGGTCGGCGATTTGCGGATAACCTTCGTCCAGCAGCTCTTTGGCCAAAATCGTTATTTCGTCCGGCGTCGCCATTGCCGTTTCGTCGCCGGGGCTGGGGTTGGAGATACGCTCATGCACCGCAATGTAGTCGCGGCTGGCGGAGTTGGAACTTTCCTCCAGCCGGTCGTAATCGTCGGCCGGAGTGGTTATCTTGATTTCGAGCAGGCGAAAGGGGCGCGGCACCTGTACTTGGTGCTGGTAGCCGTCATTCAGCGGACGGACTTTGCCACTGCGGGGCGTTAGACCCCGGTGCTCTATCGTGATTTTCATTCCGCCTTCCAGGTCGGGAATGGAGACCTTGCCGGGCTGCAGCACCCTTCGCTCCGGCAGTCCCGGCTCCTGGACGAGTTCCACTTCGGAGCGCCAGACGTCCAGCTCCGTTTCGAGGACCAGCGTAGCCGCGACCGGAGTGTTCAATTTGAACTCGCACGAGCCGACAACGGGCGTTTGCTGGCGAGCGTAGCTGCCGGCGCCAGCGTCAATCTCGAGGTCACCCTCTCCATCGTCGTCGAAATCCAGCCAGAAAGTGCACTCCTTGTCGTAGATGTCCACCGATCCACCATTGCCCTGCAGCGGCACGGACGCAACAACGGGATGGGTTGACAGCAGCAACAACGTCAGCGACAGCAACGCCAGCAGGCCGGAGCCGGCCAGCAGTGCGAAACGACGATCAATAGCTGGCATCAGGCGTTATCTTGCAGTAAATCGACCTGGTCCTTCTGTCCGTTCGCGCTGAGAGTGGCGGGCGGCGCGGCATCCGCAGATCCGTCCGCAGCGGCGTCCGCATCCGAGGGCCACCACTGGTCCGGCGGTTTGACACCATAGTAGCGGGCGAGTTCGATCCAGCGGTCCTGGTCGCTGGTAAGGTCTTTGTAATTGTCCTCCAGTTCCCCGTAGGTGCTGATGTCCTTGAAGCCATCGCCGCTGCGGACACGCCCCAGGGTCAAGATGCTGTACTCGACGGGTATGTCGTGCAGACCGGCTCGCAAACGCCAGTTCAGGGTCTTCTGTTGTGCGGGAAAGACATCGACGCCATCCGGTATCGGAGTTGCAACTACCTCACTCAGGTCAAAAGACATCTCGCCGAAGGAGCCGGGTATCCCTCTACGGTCGGCCGCGACGAAGAAGCTGAGATTCTCCCGTGTCGGGCAGAAATCGTCGTTGCTGCCGCCTCTGCTTTGGTCTTCAACCGAGATGGACATCAGCTCGTCAAAAAACGCCTCCGAGTTGTCGCGCACCGGGTCACAGTCGTGGCGCTTCAGCACCTCTGTGCAGAAGTCCGCCAGTCTGCTCCGCACGTTCGCTATGCCGGCGGCGCCGAGAACCTGCGAAATGGGGACGGGGACGCCGTTATCCCGTTCAGTCTGCGCTGCCTCAAGGCGCTGATTCTCCGGCATGACGACATTGATGCAGAACAGGTCTTCACGGGCGATAGGCCGTTCCGGAATGGTTTCATTGCTGCAAGTTTCAGAATAATGGAACTCGTCATACCTGAACGCTTCGGTGAGCAGGGACTCCACCTGCTCCATCGCCTGCTTGTGCTTCCTTCTAAAAAGATCAGTCAGCTTGGGTTCCAGCGAAATCCCGCGCATTTCATCGGCCCGTTGGATCAAGTCTTCAACCCGCTTCTTGACCTCGCCGTTGGGCTCGTGGCGTATCCTGGGTATGATGTCGCTGTCGATGCGACGCAGGAAAGCGTCTCTCCTGGCAATCGTTTTCGCGCTATTCCAGGCTTTCTGATCCCGGTGCCAGGGTAAAGCTACGCGGTAGGTCAGGTAGCGGCTGGCGGACCCATAGGAGCGTTCCGACACCACGTGCGCCAAGTAGGCGTTCCAGCGCTGTCCCTGTTTCAGTTGGACGGTGGCCTCCGGTTTATCGCCGCCGCCGGCGCCGTTGAGCAAGCAGGCCGTTACTTGCGCCGCTGCCCGGTCGATGGCCTGCCAGACCTCATCCCGCGATGCTGTCGCCAAGTCCGCCCGACCGCCGTCAAAAACGATGTTGATATCAAAAGGCTGACGCAAATCTTTGTCGCCGGCCTCATCCGACAATGGTACGCCTTCCACCAGTTCCTGCCGCGCGGTGTAGCCCCGGAAAGCGTTTTGCACCGCGAGCCGGTCCAAATCCCCGGAATCAGAGCTGTCCAGCGGAGGGCAAAGCTCAATGCCCCAGACAATCAGCTCGTCGGCTTTCCCCCGGACCGCGAAGTGCTGTCGCAGCGCCGCGCCCAGATACATGCCGACCGTTCCAGAGGTTGGCCCTTCCGGGCAAAAGGGGATTACGACGGCGAGATGGTAGGAGCCAGTGATGCCGTTTTCAGCCTTGTAGCGCTCCCACATCATTTCCGTCTCACGACAGATCGCTCCCAGCTGCCGGCGACACCAGGCGCCCAGCTGCGCCGGCGAATCGGCTACTTCCGTCATCTCGGCAGCCCACGGGTTGATCAACGTCAACAGCCGCCGGTTGGGGGTGGTGTCCGTATCCATCGTGATGCCGGGAGGCGATACACCGATTTCAAACAGACCTTTCCAGCTTCCGGTGACCCGATTCCGCGTCATATCACCCAGATAGTCAATCTGATCCTGGCTGTGGTCAATAGCCCAAGGAGCCAGCTGGGGGATGCCCTGGGCCATGAGCTCGTCCACAAACATAGGCAAGCTTTCCAGTCCCGCCTTGCCGGCCGCCATCACGCGCACTGCTCCAGTCGCCATTGTTTCGACCTCCAATCAGAATGATGGTTGTTAGCGAACAACAGTAGAACAAACATCGGCCGTCGTCAATGAAGGCGGTCGTTTGTGCTATTTCATAGTTGTGCTACATGATCAAACCTTCGCAACGCCAGCTACCCGCAAACCAAGTTCGGCCAATGTACCTCACCAAACCACCTCTGAACACCTACATATTGGCAGGTAGCAGTTCAGAGTTGAGGGGAAGTGAGCAGTCGACGGCAGGCAGCGATGGGGTTGAGAGCTTGTGCTCGCCAGGTGCCGAAGATTGAGGCCAGCGTCATCTTGGTGTCGGTGCCCCGCTCAGAGCGGGTGCCATTCGCCGACGCGATTGGCGGCCCAACGATCACCCCGCTATAATGGTCGCGCCGCATCCAGCAAGGCGGCTAAACTCTCCCCTACGGCGAGGATTCCACCATGGTCACCACCTACTCGTGCATCAACACCGAAACCGTGACACGCCCCGCGACGATGGGCCGTAACGAAGTTGAAACCCATATCGGCGTGGTCACCTTGAACCGCCCCGAGGTTCTGAACGCCCTCAATCTTCAGCTCGTGCGCGAGCTGGACCAGGCGATCACCGATTATGAAGCGGACGACAGCGTCGGCGCGGTTATCATTACCGGGGCCGGTGAACGCGCTTTTTCCGCGGGGGCGGACATCCACGAGAACCGGGAGTTGTCACCCGAGGATCGCGAAGCCGGGCAGGGCGAACGGGCCGGATACACCTGGCACCTCCACACCAGCCGCAAGCCCGTCATCGGCGCGGTGAACGGACTCTGCTACGGCGGCGGCACCGTCCTGGCCACCAGCCTGGACTTCCTGGTCGGTTGCGAAAAGTCCAGTTTCCGTTTCCTCGCGGTCAACTACGGCCAGATGAACGCAACGTGGAGCCTCCCGCAGTTGGTCGGTATTCACCGGCCAAGGAACTGCTCCTCAGCGGCCGGGAGGTTTTCGCCGACGAGGCCTATCACATGGGCCTCATCAACCACCTGGTTCCCTCCGAAGAACTCATGGATCGCACGCTGGACATCGCGGCCGGGAATCGCCCGCAACCGCGTCGACGGCCTGGCCAACATCAAGCAGTTGCTGCTGGAACATTCCGGGCTGCCCATCGAACAGCAATACCGCAACGAGATTGAGGGCCGCACCGGCCGCTTCAAGGGCCTCACGGTGGAGGAAGGGTTCTCCGACTTCCTGGAGCGCAAGGGCCGTAAGCCGCAATCCGCCTGATCTCACGCTTCGACCCGGTTTCGACGGTATGGTTGGGAACGCTCAACCCCTGTCCGTCCCGCCGGTGGGCCGGCCCTTCGGGCGACGCGATCATCGCGCCTGACGGGTCCAAGGTCCAGCTTGTGCTGACCGACGAACACGGCGCAACCCGCTGTAGCGTGGTGGAGGTCACCATTGAGCGCGGGGAGACCAGCCGTCCGGTGCGTCACCGCACCGTGGAGGAAGCCTGGTACGTGCTGTCCGGGGCTGGGGAGGTCTGGCGATGCCCTCCGGGAATAGCGGCTGTGGAGGTCTCGCCGGTGCCGGTCGTTTCCGGCGACGCGCTGGTGATCCCGACGGGTTGGGGGTTCCAGTTTCGAGCCTGCGCCGGCTCTGATTTGCGATTTGTCTGCGTGACCATGCCGGCATGGCCGGGCATGGATGAAGCGGTGGACTTACCGAAAGGAGGACTGGGGGAGCCTACGCTGGCTCCGCCTGAAGCTAACCCTGGCGTCGGACCTCAATAGTCTCACCGTCCGCCAGTGCGACGCGGCGGTATTGGATCCCCATTTTCAACATCCAGTATCCGAGGGTAGCGGGACTGACCCCTAGATGGGCGGCCGCACGGCTCATTCCCATTTCGTTGACCAAGTCGGGCACCAGATTCTCCAACGGTCGTCCGTGTTGTTCTTCCACGCTGCGCATTAACTTGGTCTTTCTGATTCGCTGCGTTGCCATATCCTCACTTCTCTTTCCGTTGTTATGCGCCAGCGTCGCTGCGTAACGGGGCTGGCGGGTGATGCGATGGCGCAATCATACACGAATGTCATATTGGCGCACACTGCCGCGGGGCCGCATCTTGCTCGATTTTATGAATAGTCATAAAAATCGCCGCAATTTCCCATATCTCCGCGCGACGGGCGCGGATGTGGCAGCCCATCGGAATCTGGGCTGCGCAACGCACTTTCTCGTTTGGCCCATATCTCCGGCGTTCCTCGGCCGGGACCGGCCGGCTTCTTCGCGCCGCGCCCCTGACCCGGAGCGCCTGTCCTTGGGGTAAAATCCCTTCATGTCTACAGTGCTGGGCGGTGGACGCCTGACGCCGGTCCGTCGGCAGTACCTGACCATCAAACACTCCTACCCGGACGCCGTCGTGCTGTTCCGGATGGGCGACTTTTACGAGTGCTTCGACGACGACGCCCGCACCCTCTCTTCGGCCCTCGAAATCGCGCTCACCTCCCGGACAATGGGCAAGGATACCCGCGTGCCGATGGCCGGGGTCCCCGCAGTCTCCCTGGAATCCAACCTCGCCCGGCTCATCAAGCAGGGGCACAAGGTCGCCATCTGCGAGCAACTGAGCGACCCCGCGACATCCAAAGGGCTCGTCGAGCGCGGGGTCGTCCGGGTGGTGACCCCGGGCACCATCATCGAGGCCGCGCTGCTGAACAATCAGGCCAACAACTACCTGGCTGCGGTCTGTCTCAGCGAAGGCCAGGCCGGGTTGGCCTACGTTGACGTCACCACTGGCGAGTTTGCCGTGTGCCAGCTCGCCGATGATCAACTGCTCCTGGAAATTGCCCGGCTGCAACCCTCGGAGATCCTGGTCCCCGACCGGGAACGGTTTCAGGACTTCGTTGCCAGTGCAACCTCAGCCGGCGAGGCCGTATCCGTCACCCAATTGGAAACCTCTGCCTTCAGTCTTAGCGTAGCCCGCCGCGCCCTTTTGGACTACTACGGCGTGCTGTCGCTGGAAGCCTACGGCCTGGAACACAACGACGCCCCTACCGAGCCATTGGCGGTCCGGGCCGCCGGCGCGATCCTGGAATACCTGCAATATACCTGGCAGGGCGAGCGGCCGGCATTGTCGCCGCCCGTCGTCTACAGCACGGCGTCGTACATGACCCTCGACCCTCAAACCCGGCGCAACCTGGAGCTTTTCGCCGCCGGGCGTTGGGACAGTCGTGATCTGTCGTTGCTCAACGCGCTGGACGGCACCCGGACTCCCATGGGCGCTCGCCTGCTGCGCAAATGGTTGGGACAGCCATTGCTGGACCTGGAGCGGTTGCAGCGCCGTCTGGATGCGGTACAGTTCTTCCACGACGACGCGTTCCGCCGCGATGAAGCGGCGTCCGTGCTGGCCCCAATATCGGATCTGGAACGCATCCTCAGCCGCGTGCAGACGAATTCCGCGACGCCCCGGGACCTCCTGGCCTTGCAGCGGAGCGTGGAATCCGCCGCAAAACTTGGCGCCATGCTGTCGCGCGACAATGTTGCTCCGGTCGCCTGGCTCGCCGGCGAACTGCGCCCCATCCCGGATGTCACGGTGTTGATTGAGCAGGCCATCGAGCCGGAACCGTCCGGCGCCGTTGGCGACGGCGGAGTCATCCGGCCCGGATTTTCGCCGGAACTGGATCGCACTCGCGGTTTGTCCCGTGACGCGCGGGGGTTCATCGCTGGCCTGGAAACCGAGGAGCGCGAACGCACCGGCATCCGCAACCTGAAGATTGGCTTCAACCAGGTTTTCGGTTACTACATCGAGGTCAGCAAGTCCAACCTGGATGCCGTCCCCGACCACTACCAACGCCGACAGACCCTTGCTGGAGGCGAGCGGTACATCACTCCCGAGCTCAAGGAGTTCGAGAGCCAGGCCCTCGACGCGCGCGAGAAGCTCGAGGAACTGGAGCGCAGCCTCTATCGCCAGGTTTGCCGGCAAGTCGCCGATCACGGCCCGGCCATATCCCGCCTCGCGTCGGCGATTGCCCGGGCGGACGTGTTCGCCGGGTTGGCCGACGTCGCGGTGCGGCACGGATACGTGCGCCCTGAGCTGAACGAGGGGGCCGCTATTCGCATCGCGGATGGCCGGCATCCCGTGGTGGAACGTGTGCTGGGATCCGGTGCCTTCGTTCCCAACGACGCCGCGCTGGACTCCGACGACGCGCAGATCATGCTCATCACCGGCCCTAACATGGCCGGCAAGTCTACCTACATCCGCCAGGTGGCGATCATAGTGCTGATGGCGCAGGTCGGGAGTTTCGTGCCCTCGTCCTCGGCGACTATCGGCCTCGTGGACCGCATCTTCACTCGCGTTGGATTGCAGGACGACCTAGCCACCGGCCAATCAACTTTCATGGTGGAGATGGTCGAAACCGCGGCCATTCTCAACCAGGCCTCCTGGCGCTCTCTCGTCATCCTGGACGAGATCGGCCGCGGAACCAGTACCTACGATGGGCTGTCCATCGCCCGGGCGGTGGTGGAGCATCTGCACAACAATCCCCGGCTGGGCTGCAAGACGCTTTTCGCTACCCACTACCACGAGCTGACCGAACTGGCATCCACGTTGCCGGGCGTTCGCAATTACAGCGTCGCGGTGTCGGAAGAGGATGGCAGGATCGCGTTTCTGCGTCGCATCGTACCGGGCGGAGCCGACCGGTCCTACGGGGTGCACGTTGCGATGCTTGCGGGAATGCCAGCGTCAGTAGTGAGTCGAGCCCAGGAGTTGCTGACGCATCTGGAGCAGGACCGCGGATCAAACATCGGCGCCGGCCGGGGCTCAAGCCGCAATGCCGAGCCGTCCCCTCAACTACCGTTGCCCCTGTTTCCCCTCGATGATGACGGTGTCGCCGCGGAGTTGCTGTCCATGGACGTGTCAAACCTCACACCCTTGGAGGCGATCAACAAGCTTTACGAACTCCAGGAGCAGGCGCGCCGCCCCGAGGAGTAACGGCCAGTGCGGCTCTTCCTTGCGCGCTTCCGAACCCGAGGCTGTCCAACGTCCGGGCGGACTTCAACCGACAAAGGGTGTAATGATCGGAGGAGACTTGGAAGCGTGAAACGAACCTCCCCGCGATTTCATCGCCTGCCAGCGCGGAGCACAAGTCCTCAAGGATGATCGAACCCACGTCCGGTTTCCGCACCGTGAGCCAAAAGCCATCCGATGAGTTGTGATCCGCGTTCCGCCAGTCCCGCCAATCTCCGGCCGTTTCCGGAAGGAGGAGAACATGGCCATCCCTGAGGCGTCCCGACCTCGGCGCGCTTCCGTTCCTCGAAAAGCCACTCCGACCGACCGGCAGGAAACCGTCCGAAAGGGTTCCGCAATACAACACCGGACCAGGCCGGGATCAGGACGGAACGATCAGCTCCGCCAACGCCGCCAGGTCCGCCACGACCAGGTCGGGCACAGCGTCGGTCGGGCGGGTTCCTCCGCCCCGTTCGGCGCGGCTTACCCATACCGAAGTGATGCCCAACCGATTGGCCGGCCCGATGTCGTGGTACAGGCTTTCGCCCACGTGGAGCCACCCCTCGTTGTCGACGGCCATCCGTTCTTTGGCGATCTCGAAGTTCCGCAGGTTGGGTTTGTAGCAGCCCGCCTGCTCCGAAGTCACCACGGCGTCAAATTCGACGCCCAGGGCTCGGGCAGACCCGGCAAACAAGTCATCATCCACGTTGGAGATGATCGCCAGCTTGTAACGCCCCTGCATCGCGTGCAGCGCGGCCGGTGCATCCGGGAAAATGGGCCAGCATGGCAGGGTGTCCGCTAGGCATGTCAGTTCATCCTCGCCGAATTGGAGACCCAGCCTGTTCCCGATCAACTCCATCACCTGCTGCAGCACGGATCGGTAATCCCTGTACCCCGGGGAGCTTTGCGCCTGGGGTTCCATCTCCGCGAAAAGCTCCAGGATCTGGGCTGCGGATTGGTGGATGTCGCGTGACTCCAGCACTGAACCGACCGCACTGGAAATGCCCGTTTCCCAATCTACCAGGGTGCCGTAGCAGTCGAAACTCACCCATTTGACGTTGCTGAAATCAACCAAAGCGGAAGCCTATACGTTGGAGGTGGGGAGGGTTTGCGCGCAAATCACGCCACCCGGTCGGCCCGAGACGCGGGTTCATCGGGGAAATATCCCGCGCGGAAAAGCCAACACCAGTTGATGGAATGACACGTACCACGCGTTCAGGTGGGCTGGAAACCAACCTCGCACAATCGCGGTCAAGGTTGGGAATGGTGGGCCTGGATGGACTCGAACCAACGACCTCAGTCTTATCAGGACTGCGCTCTAACCGCCTGAGCTACAGGCCCACAGTGGCAACCATTATACCAATCCCTCCGCCCCACGCAATACAACGTTGCGCCGCGCCAGGGCAATCTCATTTAGAACTCACTGGCCCGTCACACAGGCGATATCCCGAATCCAAACGCGACGAGACGGGGAGCCAGCTAAAGCCAGCCAAGGTAACCGTCGATTTCTGGCCCCGTATCCCTGCTTGCTCGGCGATCCCGCCGCAGCGGAAAGGGCAACCCGCCCACGCTGTCATTGCGTTCGATACTGCCAAACGTCATTGCGAGCGAAGCGTGGCAACCCCGTCGGGTCCGGCTGCCAGGCTGGCAATGTGCGTACGCGTGAGAGCGATTGGCCTCCGACCCGCGATGCAGCTACGAGCCACCCACGACCGTACTTCGCCGCTCCACCAGCAATGTGTCTCGCAAGACCCCGTGGAGGACCGCCACCCTCTTTCGCCGGCCGAGCACGCGAAACCCGCACGCCAGTTGGATCGTGATGCTGGCCGTGTTCTCCGGGAAAATGCTGCTCTGTAGCGTCCAGAACCCGAACAGTTCCGAGCGTCTGACGAACTCGCGCAGCAGTGTTTTCCCAATTTCCTGGCCGCGGCAGTTCTCGGCCACGTAGATGCTGTGCTCGACTACCCCCGCATAGCAAGGTCGGGCCGAAACGGGTGAAACGGCCGCCCAAGCTACCACCGTGTCGCCTTGGCGAGCTACCAATCGACAGGTGGGTGGGTGTCCCCGATCCCAGGTCTCCCAGTCAGGAGTCGTCGTTTCGAAAGTGGTGTTTTCAGTGGCTATGCCCTCGGCATATATTCCTCTTGCTGTCGGCCAGTCGCCTTTGACCATGGGCTCAATGGCGGGGTTGCCGTCACTGGCTATCAATGGACTCAACTACGATGCTCCTCCAGGGATTGTGCAGATGTTATATCGTTGCGTGCGCTTTGATGAAATGTCGGCCTGGCTCACGCTGCCGGAGCGGTAATTTATAGCCCGCCGTTACCGGCAATATTGACTTGGGAACGGCAGAGCCGGACACGGGCCACACTAGCCCGTACGACGCAAAAATGGTATCGTTGCGCTCACTTGCTCACTGGAAGCAAACGTCCGACGCACCGCCGTAAATCCAACTTGGAGGGATGACATGCCTCAGATAAAACACATCGCAATCGCAACCAATGACGCGGCAAAAACTGCCAAGTTCTACCAGGAAGTGTTCGGCCTCCGTGAAGTCGCCAAGCTCGAAAGCGACAACGCCAATGGTTACATGCTCAGCGACTGGCAACGTCAACATGGCTATCCTGGACTTCCAGAACGACGCCGTGGCCGGAGAGCGTGGCAAGGACTGGCAGGGTATCCACCACATCGGCTTCGAGGTCGAAAGCCTTGAGGAAACCGAAGCCCGCCTGTCTGCCGCCAACTCCCAGCCCATGGATGAGGTCAACCACGCCCTCCATGCTGCTATGAGCGGCCCGCGCACGCAAAACGTCGAAACCAAATACGAGGGCCCCAACGGCGAAATGATCGACGTTTCGGAGACCGGTTGGGTTGGTACTCGCGGCCTCGATTAGTTCCCGCACGCAATAACTTGTCCGCACCGGAAGACAGATGAGGGGGGCGGTACGCTTCCGTGCCGCCCTGGAGAACTGTGAACAGGCCATCACAACAATTGACTTGTTACATCAAAAGGACCCTTTCACAGCCTGAAACCTGGGAAGGCTTTTGCGTCGAGGTGGACGTTCCTGCGCTCGGCGATACATACGAAGAAGTTGTTGAGATAATGCACCGGGCGGTGCAAAATTACATCAAATTCATTGACGAACGGCAACCCGACGACGAACAGAGCCTGTTGTTCCGCCCGATGCCAGGCGGCCAGGTTCGGAAGCTCAAGTTTGAGGAATCAATACTGCAAAAATTGCCGTTCTCCAGGCGTTTGATACGCAAGACATTCATCGATGCCGAAACCGGCATCCCGGCACAACTGGATCCCACCCACACGGAACTCTGCTTCAGTTGCCGGAAATATCGCAGCGTCATCCAATTCGAAGTGTTCCACGAACCTAATTCCGCCTACGTGTGGTACGACAAGACCTGCAACTTATGCAAAGAGACCGGAGCCGGCTGATCGGCGCCACGAGATAAGCGTAAAAGGACCGCCCCACCGGTGTGGGGCGGTCCTTTTCGTTTGGCCTGAGTGCCCAACCGGACCGGCCGGCCCGCCGGAGTAAGTGGACGTTATGCCGGCTTGAACACCAGCCCGGGTTCATCGGGATCGATTTCCGTCAGGGCGATTTCCAACGCCATGCCGGTCCGTATGTTCTGCGGGTTGGCCGCGTCTACGCCGGCGATCCTGGCCGAGATACGCGGCCCTTCCTCCAACGTTACGATGCCGGTGCAGTACGGGTTGTTCCGACCGAAGCCCTTGGCTTCCAGCGATGCCGGCGCCACCGATATGCAGGTGAAGGTACTCAACGTGGCGCGTCCGCTGAATTCGTGCCACTCCATGTCGCGGCTGTGGCTCACTGGGTCAAGGGGCCGCGCTTCGGCGTACAGGTTGCCGTTTTCGCGGCAACGCACACCCATGAACCTGCCTTCCTGGAGGAAAGCATAAAACGACTGCCGCGTTGAACGGCCGGGATTCCGCTTCCGTAGCCATGAGGGAACCTCCTAGCCGCGCTGCAGCACGTTGACGACACAGGTGCCGCCGGTGCCGCCCACGTTGTGCGTCAGCCCGAATTCCAGGTTGGAGCCTGCCAACTGACGCTCACCGGCCTCGCCCCGCAGTTGCTTGTAGACCTCGATGACCTGCGCCACACCGCTGGCGCCAACCGGGTGCCCCTTGGCCTTCAGGCCGCCGCTGGTGTTGATCGGGCGGTCGCCGGTGCGGGCGGTACGCCCTTCGTCCACCGCGTGCGGGCCCTCGCCTGGCGCGAAAATCCCAGGTCCTCGCTGGCAACGATCTCGGCGATGGTGAAGCAGTCGTGTACCTCGGCCACGCCGACCTGTTCGGGTCCGATGCCGGCCATCTCATAAGCCTGGGCCGACGCGATCTTCGCCGCCGAGAGGGATGTCAGTTCCTCGGCGTCGTGCAGGGGACGGCCGGTGGCCTGCCCGATGCCCGCGATGTGGACCGGTTTGTCGGTGAACTGGTTCGCCAGTTCGCTGGCGACCAGCAGGACGCAGGACGCCCCGTCGGTAATGGGCGCACAGTCGTACAGGCGCAACGGCCAGGCGATCCACGGGTTGGCGCGAGAGTCGTTCAGGAAGTCCAGTTCGTCCTCCCAGTCCGGAACCGGCTCGCCGCGTTGTTCGGCTCTCGCCTTGCGCCGGTCCATCATATCCCTCACGGTGACCTGGAACTGCGCCTTGGGGTTCAACTTGCCGTTCTCGTGGTTCTTGACCCCCACCTTCAGCAGGTGGTCCAGGTTGGTCTCATACCGGTCCATGTGCGCCTTGGCAATGGCGCCGAAAATGCCGGGGAAAGTCAGGCCGGCGGGCACCTCGTACAAACCGTCCGCGGCCGATGCCAGGACGTCGGTGACCCCTTCCGTTGGCAACGAGGTCATCTTCTCAACGCCGCCCACCATCACCACGTCATACATGCCGCTGGCGATGGCCATCACCCCCTCGCGGAGGGCGCTGCCGCTGCTGGCGCAAGCGTTCTCGACGCGGGTGATCGGCGTCGGGGTCATCCCCAGCCAATCGGCGATGATCGGCGCGGTATGCCCTTGGTGCTCAAACAGGTCGGCCGAGTAGTTGCCGACGTAGCCGGCCTCAATGTCCTGGGCCGATATGCCGGTGTCGATGGTCTCCTGCATATCCTGGAAAGCCTCGACGAACAGGTCGCGGCTGGTCTTGTCGGGGTACGCGCCAAACTGCGACAGGCCGGCGCCAACGAGGGACACCGAACGAGCCAGGCGACGGGGACGGGTGGTAGCCATGCTGCTGCTCCTCAGATTCGGTTGCGATTGGACATCCTACACCAAAAATCGCCAGCATTGCCACAGTGATCTCCGTTAGCGCTCAAGGCCCGGCCGGGCTCGGGTCATTCCGGCTCTGCTGCAACTCGGGCCTTGCCACATGGAGCGGTCCTCACGCGTACCCGCTTTGCACAATCGGTCGTTGCGAGCGCAGCGTGGCAATCTCGTCGCCGGAGGGATTTTCGCTCAGTTCAACGAGCTCACCACGTCGCTGCGCTCCTCGCGATGACAGAGTGGGTACGCATCAGGAGCGGTCAATTTGCGGGTCACAAATCCGCGATGCTATACTTTTCTCGATAAGATGCTGCCGGAGCGGTTTTTGCGGAAGGCGACGGGCGCAGTATCAGGAGGGGCCTATGATCCAGAGCGCCGTTGTGCAGCAGCTTCGCCAGGGAGGCGTGCGCGTGACGCCCCAGCGCCTGGCCATCGCCGAGGCGGTGCTCAACTCCACCGACCACCCCACGGTCCAGCAGATCCACGAGCGCGTCCAGCAGCATTTCCCTTCAATGACGCTGGCCACCGTCTATTCGACACTTGGCGTGCTCTCAAAGAGCGGTTTGATCCAGGAACTGCCTTTTGCCAAGCAGTCCCGCTACGAGAGCAACGTCTCCCCCCACGTGAATTTGGTCTGCATCGGGTGCGGAAACATCGCCGACGCCGATGACAGCAGTGACATCATCATCCGGCTGCGTGATCAGGTTTCCAACGAAACCCGCTTCCAGGTCATGTGGCAACGTGTCGATTTCCATGGCTGGTGCCGAACCTGCCAGGCCGCCATCGAGCCCGCCGCCGCGGCCGGGCAGTAGCGCCCCACCGTGATCACCGGCGTTGTCGGCATAACCCTGTGGACCGACGACCTGGACCGGATGCTGCGGTTCTACCGCGACGTCCTGCGACTGCCACTCCATTCCTTCCACGAGGACGAGGGTTTCGCGGCCTTTGAACTGGGCGACATACGTTTCAATGTGGGCCGGCACGGCGACGTGAGCGGCGAGTCAAAAGATCCCCTGCGCGTGATGCCTCACCTGGGCGTCGACGATATTCACGCCGAGCACGCCCGCCTCTCCGCCGCCGGCGTGCCGTTCATCCGCGTTCCCGAGCGGGAGCACTGGGGCGGGTGGGTCGCCACCCTCAAGGATCCCGACGGGAACGTACTGCAACTGCTGCAGTTCCCCGATTAGTGCGGCCGCTGATCAGTCTCGCAGCTTGCGGGCCAGTTCGGCGTTGGACGGTTCAACCAGCACCGACCCGTCGGGGAAGACGATCGTCGGGATGATCAGCCGGTTGTCGTTGACCTGTTTCACGTAGCTCTGGGCGTCATCGTCGCCATCTACGTTGATGTACTCGTAGGCCACCGACTGGCTGTCCAGATAGTTCCTGGAACGATGGCAGTCGGGGCACCACTCGGCGCCGTAGAGTTTGATCTCGGGTTCGGCGGTTGTCATGGGGCGTCTCCTTTGAATTTGGCGGTTAGTCGGCGACCCGTCCTACTCCCTCGTCCTGCTCGGAGTATGAAGGGCGAATCAGTTCGTAGACGTCGTCGGTTCGGCAGTACATGTTCCCGGCTAGGCGACCCGTGGGTTTCAACGCGGCATGGTTGATCCTCAAGCCGTTGGGGCCGTCGTACATCACATCGTCGCTGACGTGCATGCGGACGATTTCGCCGATGACTATGCCATGGGCGTGAGGCTGTTCACCGATGTTCACCACCTGTACCAGGCGACACTCCATGTTCACCGGAGACTCCGCGACGCGAGGCGCCTTCACCATCTCGCTGGGAGATTCGGTCAGGCCGGCGATGTCAAACTCGGAAACATCCGAAGGATATTCGGCTGCGGTGGCGTTCATCGCGGCCGCGATGTCGTCGACTACGATGTTGACGACGTACTCCCCGGTCTCCTCAATGTTGGTCAGTGTGTCCTTGCGTTTGTCCTGCCAGCCGGGCGCGCGCCGCGACGAGGAAAAAATCAGCGTGGGCGGGTTGTAGGCCATCGCATTGAAGAAGCTGAATGGCGCCAGGTTCACCACGCCGTCGGTGGAGATGGTCGACACGAACGCGATCGGCCGCGGCACTACCACCCCGGTCAGGATCATGTTGAATCGTTCAAAGGTTTTGGGATCAATTAGCATCAGACTACTCCCGTGCGATATCTATTGGGCCCCAATGGCCGAGGCGATGCTGACGATTATACCGCGTGAAAACCCGGCCTCTCCAAATTGCCGGTGGTGTCGGGTTGGGATACAATTCCCGCACTTGTCGGGAACCCTCCCATTTGCCAGCGCATAGCAACACTGGACAACAGCAGGTAGCAGCGGAATACCATGGATTTGTGCGGCCCGTTGACGGGCACCAAGGTACTGGACCTGAGCGAGGATATCGCCGGGTCCTTTTGTGCCCGGCTTCTGGCCGATTACGGCGCCGACGTCCTCAAAATCGAACCGCCCGGCGGATCGGCCATGCGGCGAGTCGGGCCGTTCTACCACGATGACCCGCACCCGGAGAAGAGCCTTTTCTTCCTCGTCCTCAACCTGAACAAGAAGGGCCTCACCCTGAACCTGGATTCGGCTGCCGGGCGGCGCATTCTGAAGGAACTGGTCCCCCACGTCGATCTGGTCATCGAGAGCTATCGGCCCGGCCATCTGGACGACTTGGGCATCGGTTATGCGGCGCTGTCCGCAATAAATCCCAACCTGGTGATGACGTCGATCACCCCCTTCGGCCAGACCGGCCCTTACAGCCAGTACGCCGGCGAGGAGATCGTCTCCTACGCCATGGGCATGGTGATGGGAATCAGCGGGGTGCAGGGACGGCCACCCCTCAAACACGGCGGCTTCCAGGCCCAGTACCAGGGCGGCCTGTTCGGCGCCGGCGCAACCGCCATGGCGTTGTTCGCCCAGGATCGCCACGGTACCGGACAGCACGTGGACGTTTCCATCACCGAGTGCGTCGCCTCCACCATGATGGCGACCCAGACCATCTACCCCTTCATCGGCGGCGTGCAGGTTCGAAGAGCCCCCGGAACCATGTGGGAAAACCCGATGCCCTGCAAGGACGGCTGGATCATTGTGCAGGCCGGCGGCGGCGCCACGTGGGACGACATCGCCGACTTCTTTCAGGCCCCCGAGTTGCTGGAACCCAGGTTCGCCGACCGCGCCCAAAGGGTCCGCAACGGCCCGGCCATGGACCAGGTGGTGCTGGATGCCATCAAGGACCGGGAAAAGTGGGAACTGTTCCCCAAGGCGGCCGAGAAGCGGATGCTCTTCGGACTGGTGCAAACCCCTACCGAATTGGCGGACTGCCCGCAGTTGGAGTCCCGCGAGTTTTACCGCGAAACCGAACACCCGGTTATCGGCCGCGTCCAGGTGCCCGCCGAGCTGTTCCGCATGACGCCGGCCGGATACCAACTGCGCATGGCCGCGCCAACGCTGGGCCAGCATAACGAAGAAGTCTTTGTCGACGGCCTCGGGTATGATCGGGAAACACTGTCGGTCATGCGGCAGCTGGACGTCATCTAGAGTATTCTGGTGGTGGAGGCTGGCCATGGTGACCAAACCGCAGTTCCCGCCCCTTTCGGCTCCGCTGCCTGATGATTATGCGTGCCCCGATCCCGAGCCGCGCGACATGATCCAGGGCCCCACCATCAACAAGGCCGGATATTTCGTCGCCCGCCATTTTGCGACGCAACAGGACACGCTTGTCCGTGCCCCTTGCGTCGTCGCCTACGATCCCCAGAATCTGAACCGGCGCGTGGAACCTGATCTTCTGGTCGCTCACGGTGTGGATCCTGCCCCCATCCTTGCCCGGAACGGCTACATCATCTGGGAGGTTGGCAAGCCGCCCGACTTTGTGATGGAGGTAGCTTCGGAGACCACCCACGGCCGCGATACCGGGTTCAAACGCGACCTCTATGCCAGCCTGGGCATCGCCGAATACTGGCGGATCGACCCCACGGGTGGCGACTTCTACGGCTACCCGATGGCCGGCGACACGCTGGTGGATGGCGAGTATCGGCCGGTCCCGCTGGAACACGAAACCGACGGGATGCTCTGGGGCTACAGCCCGACGCTGGACCTGTGCCCGTGCTGGAAGCCGCATTGGGATTGGGACGTCGACGACGAAACGCACCTGCGTTTGTTCGACCGCAAGACCGGACGCTACCTCTGCGATATTTCGCTGGTGGAATACGCCCTCGCTTCCGAGCGCGCGGCCCGAGAGGGGGAACAGCAGGTGTTGGCTCAAGCGCAAGCGCGCGTCCGGCAACTCGAAGAGCAGTTGCGCCGGCAACAACCGTGACCGACGCCGGCGCAGCAGCGGAGTAACCAGAAAATGCCCACCCTACCATTGGAAGGAATCCGAGTTCTCGACTCCACCTATGTCTTCGCCCTGCCCTACACCGGCGGCCAGTTGGCCGATCTGGGTGCCGAGGTCATCAAGATCGAGGGCCCAGGCCGACCCGACATAACCCGCGGCGGCGGTCTCTACGGCACCTTCCCCGACAACGATCCGGGCGAAGACTGGTGGAACCGTCCCTCCACTTACCAGCTACTGAACCGGGGCAAACGCTCCATGGTGCTGGACATGGCCCAGGAGGAGGGTCGCGAGATCTTCCGCGAGTTGGTCATGGTCAGCGACGTCGTGATGGAAAACTTCACCCCCCGCGTCATGCGCCGTTGGAACCTGGACTACCCCAACCTGCGCAAGCTGCGGCCCGACATCATCATGGTGTCCAACACCGGCTATGGTCACGGCGACGGCCCGTACTCGTCCTACCCTGCTCAGGCCACCACGCAGGAGGGTACCCACGGCCACTGCTGGATCACCGGATACCCCGGCGACGAGCCGTCCAAGGCCGGCCGTTCCTTCGTAGACTTCCTGTCTACCTGGAGCGCGATGCTGGCCATCGGGGCCGCCCTGCGCTACCGCAACCGCACCGGCAAGGGCCTCTGGGTGGACATCGGCATGTACCAGGCCGGCGTGATGTTCCTCTCCGAGTACCTCATGGACGCCGTCGTCAACGGTAGGGAGGGCGAGCGCATCGGCAACCGACACCCCAATCGCGCGCCCCAGGGAGCCTATCCCGCCGCCGGCAACGACGAATGGATCACCCTGTCGGTAGCCGACGACGAGCAGTGGCGCGCCCTGTGCCGCCTCATGGAACGTGACGATCTCGCGTCTGACTCCCGCTTCGGCACGCTCGCCGGCCGCCAATCGGGTCACGACGAGATCGACGACGCCATCGGCCAATGGACGAAGCACCACGACAAGTACGACCTGATGCACCTCCTCCAGGCCCTGGGCATCGCCTCCGGCCCCGTGCTCAGCGGCAAGGACATCCACTTCGACCCCCACTACCGCAGCCGCAACTTCCTCGAGCGCGTCGAGTACCCGCCGGAACGGGACATGGGCACCCGCATCATCATGGGCCGCCCCTACAAACTCTCGAAGACACCGCTGGAGATACGCGGCCCGGCCCCAAAGTTTGGCCAGGACAACCTGCCGCTGCTGGAGGCGCTGCTGGGCAAGCCCGCCGAGCAGGTCTCGGCGTGGGCCGACGCAGCGGTCATCACCGAGGTACCCACCACCGGCGACCCATCGCCCACCCTTGACCCGCAGGAACTGGTGGAGCGCGGCCAACTCGCCGCGTGGGACCCGCGATTACCGCGAACGCCTGGGCATTTGACGATTGAGCACGCCGGGTCTAACCTGAAAGTAGGCGCACGATACCCGCGCCGCGCGTTCCGGGCCCGTAGCTCAGTGGAAGAGCATCCGACTCATAATCGGCAGGTCACAGGTTCGAACCCTGTCGGGCCCACCATCCTGCACAAAGGCGAAACCTGCGGTTTATGTTGTACGGAGCTGCTGGGGAAGGATACTTTGGCAGACGCATCTTGTGCCCGCAGAAGACGTTGAGAGTTGCCCGATGATAGCGAGAATACCATTGGTTCTGGACCCCCAACCCGAAGGGGGCTACACGGTGACGTCTCCGTTGCTACCTGAGTTGATTACCGAGGGCGACACCATCACGGAGTGCCTGATTAACGCCGAGGATGCCTTTGCAGTAGTCTTGGAGATATACGAGGACGAAGGGCGTCCTTTGCCGCCCGAGATCCACGTGGACGACGCCAACGGTCCAGTGTCCATTGAGGCCATCATCGCGGTTCCGGCTCCGTGAGATACCGGGAGGCTGCGCGCAAGCTGGCGAGCCTGGGATGTTACGAGGTTCCAACCCGAAGCGGAGGTTCGCACAGAAGATGGTTCAATCCAAAAACACGAAAAAACGCTCCGTTGCCGGATTGGGGCAGCCGTGACCTGAAAATCGGAACTCTGCGTTCGGCGATCAGACAGTTGGGGATAGACTGGACGGAGTTCCAGAACTCATAGAATGAAGTACTCTTTGCCCGACATCGTAATGACCATCAGCCGCATGACGCCGTCACCCCGCCTGGTCAGGGAGTTCAATGTCAGTGGAAGAGCATCCGACTCATAATCGGCAGGTCACAGGTTCGAACCCTGTCGGGCCACACTACCCCGGCCATTATGAGCTGCTTTCCTATCCCCTATACCGCAGGGTTCACTGCCCGTTGGGTTGCGGGCAAATCCGCAAAGTTTTACCAACTGCCCCACGTTGGACGAATGAAGAAGTCAGACGCCGAATCTTGGCACTCTAAAGGGAAAGAAATTTCGATGCGCGATCCCGCTGAAATAGGTTCTTTCGGCCGCCTCCTGACAGCAGTCTCCAAAGTCTCAGCCGCTGTTTCTAGGCTTCACCATTATACGAGCTTTGACGCCGCAAAGGAGATGCCTTCGTAATCATACTTTGCATCTCACTCACGCAGCATTCTCCAATGATCGACGGAGTTGAGTTACGGCCTACACCCTTATCGAGAACATGTTGGAAAAGCTGGAGAAGGAAGCATTCAGCAACCACTACTTCCTTTCAATACTCTACTACAATACTCAGCCGTATATCTTCTGTTTATCAGAATCCGAAGATATTGCTCCATGGGACATGTATTCTGGTCGTAACGGTTGCTGCATCACCTTCAGCAATGAAATAACTACTCTGACGGATGGAGACAGGGTTGCGTTGGGAACCGTAATTTATGAAAAGGAGAAACAACGGCAGTACTTGGAATCCTCAGCAATGCACGGCAAACGCCGCATATAGAGAACGAGACAGACTCTCCACTAACCTATATTTATATCTAAGCGTCATCTTTTTGAAGAGCACGTGCATTTAGCCAAGAAAAGGATGGCGAATCGTCCAAATAGTTCAAGAAGAATCGTTCGACACCATCGAATACCGAAGTGGGTCTCGTTTTCTAAAACCTACGTAAAAATACAGTTTCAACCCCTCCCAACACAGAGATTAAAATTGGCCCGGCCGATGACCAAGATCGTCTATGCGTTCCATGGAGCATTTGATCAAGATGACTAAAGGCTATGAAAACGTTACCGTCAGCAGGTCAAGCATCAGCTTTCGCTTCGTGATGTCTGCCGTTCGATAGCGAGCATCACAAAGTCAAGGCGTTCTGCACGTTATGATCTCAAGTCCATGGTTAGTAGATCGTGGTACGAGGTGGATGCCCCGGTGTGACGGTAGTTCAAGTTCGGTCATTGGCGGCATCGTGATGTTATAAAAACAGCTGACGTTAATAGCATGTTGCGCTACCATTAGGGCCGTAATCAAGGGCTACCGCGACAGGGATACCCGGGCAGTAGCCGAACGCCAACGCGTCCGCAGGTTCCCGGAACACATCCAGCGTCGGGCGCAGATCAAGTTGATGATGCTGAATAACGCCACGGACCTGAACGACCTGCGAATTCCTCCGGGGAACCGGCTTGAGGCCCTTTCGGGCGACCGTGAAGGACAGCACAGCATTCGCGTCAACGACCAATGGCGCATCTGCTTCATTTGGGACAGCGGCGAAGCCTACCAGGTGGAGATCGTGGACTATCATTGATGGTGGCGAGAGGAGAAACAGCGATCATGTCCAGTCACCAAGCGCGCAACGCCGACAGGTTGCCGCCTATTCACCCGGGGGAGATACTCGACGAAGAGTTTCTCCAACCAATGAACATTACCCAGTACCGGCTCGCCAAGGCCATCGGCGTGGATGCCCGGCGCATCCATGCTATTGTCCACGGACAGCGTGCGATCACGGCCGAAACGGCGTTGCTGTTCTCGCGCTTCTTCGGAAACTCCGCCGGGTTCTGGATGGGGCTTCAAAGTCAGTACGATCTTGAAACCGCCGGAGACCGTCTTTCGGATAAACTGAACGCGGTGGTTGCCCTCTCTTCAACCGGTGGTAAAGATTGAGCCCGATGCTGGAACTGAGAAACATCACCCCGGACGAGTTCGAGCCCTGGATGAGCCTGGAGTCGCGCGCCCACGGCAACCGCTTGAACCACGACCCGGAGGAACTGCGGCCCCACTTCGATCTTGGCCGCACCATTGCCGTGTTTGAGGACGGCCAGATCGTCGCCGGGGCGCACTCTCACTGGCTGGAGATGTCCATCCCCGGCGGCACCTCCGTCGTGGCCGGCGTGTCCAACGTCGAGGTCCAGCCCACCCATACGCGGCGCGGCATCATGACCCAGATGATGCGTCACCAGATCGACGGCATCCACGCGCGCGGCGAACCCCTGGCCGCCCTCTTCGCCACCGAGAGCGCGATCTACGGCCGGTTCGGTTACGGGGTAGGGTCGGTGCACGAGCAGTGGTCCATCGACAAGTCCCACAACGGATATGCTCGTCGCCATGAGAGCCCCGGGCGCATCGTCTTCATGGATCCTGCGGACATTGGCAAATCGCTGCCCGACGTGATGCGCCGCAGCACCGAGGGTCGACCGGCCGTGTTCCAGCGCGCGCCGCACCATTGGGAACGAGACTCACGGAACCCGATACACGCTCAGGGCGGTTCCGGCGGACTGTTCTACGCCGCCTACGTCGAGGACGGCCAGATCGACGGCTACGCCACCTACCGCACCCAACGGCCCGCGGTCATGGTCAACGAACTGATGGCAGCCACCCCCGAGGCCACCGCCGCCCTGTGGCGGTTCTGCTTCGACCTCGACCTCTACGAGCGCACCGAGGCCGTCAAGCGTCCGGTGGACGACCCGCTGCCCTGGATGCTGGCCGACCCGCGCCGGCTGGAACGCTCCCCTCGCGACGGCCTGTGGGTGCGCGTGGTCGACGCCCGCGCCGCGCTGGAGCAGCGTAGTTACGCCACCAGCGACCGCCTCGTCCTCGAAATCCGCGACGATTTCTGCGACTGGAACCAGGGGTGTTGGAGCCTTGAAATGTCCCCTGAGGGCGGCGACTGCCGGCCCGTCACTGGCGGCGCCGATCTGGCAATCAACGTGTCCGCCCTGGCCTCCGTCTACCTTGGCGCGGCGACTTTCAGCACGCTGCAGCAGGCTGGCCAGATTGATGAGTCCACACCGGGAGCGGTGCAGCGCGCCGACCGGGCATTCGCCGTGCCGTTGAAACCCTGGACCCCCTACAACTTCTGACGAGGTGAGCACATGGCTCGATTGGACGGCAAGGTCGCGCTGATCAGCGGCGGCGCGCGGGGGATGGGAGCAACCGAGGCCCGGCTGTTCGCCCGTGAAGGCGCGGCCGTCGTCATCGGCGATATTTTGGACGAGGATGGCGAGGCCACCGCCGCGTCCATCGCGGCCGAAGGTGGCCGCTGCCGCTACGTGCACCTGGACGTCACCCAGGAGGCCGAATGGCAGGCCGCCGTGGCCCAGGCGGTGTCGCAGTTCGGTAGCCTCGACGTGCTGGTCAACAACGCCGGCATCGGCAGCAGCTCCTTTCCCATCCACGAGGAACCGGTGGAGTTGTGGGACCGCACCATGGACGTGAACCTTAAGGGCGTGTTCCTGGGCACTCGCGCGGCAATCCCCGCCATGCTTGAGTCCGGCGGCGGCTCCATCATCAACATATCGTCCCAGTTGGGCATCGTCGGCGTGCCCTACAACGGCGCGGCCTACCAGACTTCCAAGGGCGGCGTGCGCATTTTCACCAAGGCCGCAGCGCTGCAATACGCGGACCGGGGCATTAGGGTCAATTCCGTGCATCCCGGCCCAATTGTCACCGAGATGACCCGGTCCGGCCGCAACGACCCCGAGCGCCTTGCAGTAATGATGTCCCGCATCCCCATGGGCCGTTACGGCGAGCCGGAAGAAGTCGCCAACGCCGTGCTGTACCTGGCGTCCGACGAGTCGTCCTTCGTCACCGGCAGCGAGGTGGTGGTGGACGGCGGCTGGACCGCCCAGTAGCTCAGGGACGTTCGACTTCAGTGAACCGTTTCAACTGGTCCATCATCTGCTCCGAATTGGCTGCCCTCGGCTCCACCACCAGGTAGTCCAGGCCGGCCTGCTCGTATTCCATCAGATCACCTGCCACCTGCGCCGGGGAACCTCGCAGCGGCGTGCGTCCCGCCCCGGCGAAGGGTTCGTCAGTGACATCCAGCCCGGCCCGCAGCGAAATGGTGAAACCTTCCATGCCGTCCCCGTGTGACTCGCGGAGTTCTGCGATGCGGCTCTGCACCTTCGCCACGTCGGCCGGACTCTGCCGTACTCCATGCCAACCGTCGGCCAGGTTCGCCGCACGACGCAACGCCGGCGGGCTGATCCCGCCCGTCCAGATCGGCGGGTGAGGCTGGGACACGGGCCGGGGCGCCATGCCCAGGCCGGCAACGCTGTAGTGGGTCCGTTGTACGTCGGGCACGGGCTCCGTCCAAAAGGCTTTCAGGATCGCGATGTGCTCGTCGGTGACGGTGCCGCGCGCGCTGAATTCCGAGCCCAGCGCAGCGAACTCCTCAGCCATCCAGCCCACGCCGGCCCCGACGATGAGCCGCCCGTTGGAGATCACGTCCAGCGTGCCCAGCATCTTGGCGTTCAGCACCGGATGGCGGTAGGGCAGCACCAGTACGCTGAACCCCAACTGCACCCGGCTGGTCACGGCCGCCAGGTAGGACAGCGTCGTTATCGGTTCCAGGATGCGGTCGGATGCAGTCAGCGGGAACCGGCCGTCGCTGCGGTACGGGTACGCCGAGTTGAGCTCCACGGGGATGGCAACGTGATCGCTCAGGAACACGCCATCGTAGCCCAGATCCTCGGCCCGCCGGGAGATTCCGGCCAGCGATTCGATGTGCGCCAGGGTTCCAACATTAGGGAGAATGACTCCGTATTTCATACTCAAAACCCGCGGTGTGGAGGGTGGCCCGGCGGCCGGTTTCGGTTGACACTCCGCCGGGCCCGATGCTAGCATAATCCACCGCCGGATCGGGTGTTTTCCGCCGGCGTGAACGGGGCGGCGCCCCGTCGCCAAGCCCCTGACCAAGGAGTACTACAGATGGCCGACCAGCCCGAACTGCACCGCGGTTTGATGAACGTCTATATGGACACCACGGAGTCCAGTTTCATCGACGGCGAAATCGGAAAACTGCTCTATCGTGGCTACGACATCCACGATCTGGCCGAGAAATCCACCTTCGAGGAAATCGTCCACCTGGTGCTGTACGGCGAGCTGCCCAATCAAGCCCAACTCGACGAGACCGACGGCTACCTGCGCGCCAACCGCCGCATTCCCGATGAGATCATCACCGTCATCGACGCGGTAAAATCCGCGCATCCCATGGATGTCCTGCAGACGGCCCTCATCGGCCTGGCCGCTTTCGACGACGAGTCCGAGGATAACTCCAGGGAAGCCAACGTCCGCAAGGCCCTCCGGCTGACCGCGCAGGCCCCCACCATCGTAACGGCCCATCATCGCATTCGGTCCGGACTGGAGCCCGTGTCTCCCAACCCCGATCTGAACCACGCCGGGAACTTCCTCTACATGCTATTCGACCAGTTTCCCGACGACGAGACCATCGCCCTGATGGACGTCGACTTCATCCTCCACGCCGAGCACGGCGTCAACGCGTCGTCTTTCGCGGCCCGGGTCTCCGCTTCCACCAACTCGACGCTGCACGCCGCCGTTTCCGGCGCGGTGGGCACGCTGAAGGGCCCGGCCCACGGCGGCGCCGCCGAAGAAGTTATGAAGATGTCGATGGAGATCGGCAACCCCGAAAACGCCGAAGAGTACGCTCGCAACAAGTTGAACAACCGTGAGCGCATCATGGGCTTCGGTCACCGCGTGTACCGGGCAGAGGACCCGCGAGCCCGTCACCTTCGCGAGCGTTCCCAGGCCCTGGGCGAAAAGCGCGGCGACCCGCGCTGGTTCCAGATCCTCACCCACCTGTCCGAGGACGTCATGGCGCCCTACCGCGACCGCGGCATCTACGTCAACGTGGACTTCTACGCCGGCTCCATCTACCACCTGCTGGGCATCCCGTCGGACCTGTTCATCCCCATCTTCGCCCTGGGGCGCGTCCCCGGCTGGTCCGCCCAGTGCATCGAGCAATATCAGAACAACATCCTGCTGCGCCCGCGCCTGCACTACATCGGCCCCATGGACCGCGACTACGTGCCCATCGACCAGCGCTAGCCAAAACAAGGCATCCCGGGGAATCGTAGGGGCGAATGACCATTCGCCCCTATATCTGTATGCATACGGCGGTCGCTTAGGGGTAAACCTCCAGGTTCCCCAGGTGAACCTCAGCGATAACTTCGCGCTCACTGGCCGCGCCGTGCGAGTGACCATCACCGTGGTCGCTGCCGTGGCTACTGTGGCCGGGATCAGCATCTTGCTCCGGTTCGTTGACCGTGATCGTGGCTGCTACCCACTGATCATTCCAGGAGTAAGCGATCCCGTCGTTGGAAACCAGAGTTACCGAGATTTCATGGTCGCCGGGCGCCAGAGATGGAAGCTGCACCCAAGCACCGTAGATCCGGGAACGGTATTCGCCGTCGATAAACAGATGCCCGTATCCTTCGCCATCGACATGCGCCTGATGGACCTGGCCGGGCGCGAAGGCGAAACCGGACGTGATCAGTTGCAGATTGTAGCCGCCCAAGCTGTCCGGGTGGGCGACGATGTCCAGCGACATCGCCTCGCTTCCCCAGATTTGAGCGGCGGGAAACGCCGCCATTCCCTCGGCCTCCGGTATGGTGAGGGTCACGGTCTTCTCCAGGAGCTGTCCCTCTACCAGCAGTTCGCTGTGCTGGTTGCTATTCAGATTGACCCGAATCTCACGCTCTCCAGGCTCCAATCCGGTCAGGTGATAATCCGGCCCGTACACTCGGGTGATTTTCTCGCCATCCACGTAGATGTGAGCGTGGCCGGCGCCCGGCGTGTGCTCTTGGTTCACTTCCTCCGGGGCCCAGCGCCAACCCTCGGTGGTGATGTGAACGCTGACGCTACCGTCCGACTCGACATCGGCTGTGAAGTCCATGCCAATCGGGACCTCGGACACCAGGGTTTGATGCGTCATCGCGTCATGGGGGTTGCTACCGCCCGTTGTTCGCACATTCATTGGAGCGAAGACGTGGAAATTCAAGCCGAAACTGCCCGCGGTTTCGGCGACAAAGGTCAGCGTTCCTGGGCTTTCCGGCGACACGGCGGCCGACAGATTGTAGCCGTGCAGGTGGACCTCTCCCGGCTCGTCCGCCGTGAAGTTGAAGCTGACGGTGTCGCCGCGCTTGACCTGCAGGCTTTCCCGGGACAGCTCGCTCGTCCGTGCGGAAATATCCATGTCAATGATTCGGGCGTCACCGGGCACGGCATTGCTCTGCGTCCCGTCGTTGTCCTGACCGTGGGAGGTTTCCTCGGACTCCCCGCCGGCCGCGTGGTGTCCCCCACTGGCGGAAGAATCTGTATCCGTTTGAGAGTGATGGTCAGATTGGTTCGGTTGGGCCCCACGGGAGTCGTTGTCTCCGCCGGCTGTCGCGGCGTCCGCCGTCTCCGGCTGCGCGGCCGATCCGCAAGCCGTCACCGTGAGCATGGTGGCGAGGGCGACGGCCACGGTCAGCAAAACCCTCGGCCGGCGTAAAATTGGGTGCAGAAATTGCATCGGAAAATCCTCCGTTGGCATTCGCACGCCCGCCGCGCGGTCTCAACGTGGCGCGGGGCGCAACAATCAGTGGCTGGGAGAGGATTTACGCGATTGGAGGACGGTGCGGGGGAGATACGCGCGCGCTTGCGGGCTGCCGGGCGTCACCCACGAATCTGGCCAGCGGGTTGTCGTTACGCGCTCGCGGCGGTGGATTCCTCAGTGCTTGCGGAGCGGGGTGGTATGAAACGCTGGATGACGCGAGCATCAGTCCAGACGTCACCGGAGCCAGGAACATCGTCCCATCGGCGGCTCGCTGGGTTTCGCTGCCCGCCGTGCCTTCCGCGGCCAAGAGATGCTGGTGGGCGCTGCCCGCTGCATAGGCGTGATCGTGATCTACCGTCCGGCCGTTGAGGTACACGTGGTCGTGGTTGTGCGCCCGTTCCACAAAGTGGTGGTCGTCCAATGGCCCGACAATGGGCAGTGACAGCGCGAACAGCGCGGCCGCAAGGAGGAGCATCCAGCCCAACGAGGGCGGTTGGTGGGCCCGGGAAACGGGCCGCGAGACGCGGGCTTGACGCCGCATGGCGCTGGGTTTCGGTACCATGGCTCGTGCGCTGGAATGCTGGTGAGGAGCGGACTGCCAACAGGTTTGTCGTTGACAGGTGGATAGAGCATATCAGATAATGCCTAGCACCAATGCCAACACACATAGGAGGCGAAAAGATGGCATCTCAGGACATCGCTTTGATGGCCCATTTGATGCGTCGTGCCGGTTTCGGGGCGTCCCGCGAAGAGCTGGAAGCCCGCGCCGCCAAAGGGTACGAAGCTACCGTTGACGAGCTGCTTGATCCCGATAGCCAGCCGGCTATCGACCGTTACGAGTTGGTCCGCTACCAGCCGTGGACCTGGCGCCCGGGCACCATCCAGGGCATGGGTTCGGCAGAGTGGCTGCACTTCATGATCAACACCAAGCGGCCGCTGGAAGAGAAAATGGCGCTGTTCTGGCACCAGATCTTTGCCACCGGCGTTTCGAAGGTCGACCACTACGACGAGATCACCCGTATGGTCGCCCTGTTCCGCGAGAAGGGCATGGGCAACTACAAGGAGTTGCTGCTCGAAATCGCCAGGAACCCGGCCATGATCTATTGGCTGGACAACTTTGAAAACCATGCCGACGCCGTCAACGAGAACTGGGGCCGCGAGTTGCTGGAGCTGTTCAGCATGGGCGTTGGCACCTACACCGAAGTTGACGTGCGCGAGGCTTCCCGCGCTTTCACCGGCTGGACCTTCGAGGCCAAGCTGCCGCGTGGCCCCATCGGCCGCCACGACTGGCAGTTCCAGTATCTGCCGGAGGACCACGACGACGGGGAGAAGACCTTCCTCGGCGAGAGCGGAAACTTCAACGGCGATGACATCATCAATATCGTTTGCCAACATCCGGCTACGGCCACCTTCATCGCCCGCCACCTGTACAACTTCTTCGTCGCCGACGAAGCCCAGGTTCCGGCCTGGCAGGTGATCCCGCCCAAGGATGAGGACGCGATCGACCTGCTGGCTGACACCTTCGTCGAATCCGGCTGCGACATGACGGCCGTTCTGCGTGTCCTGTTCAACAGCGACTTCTTTAAGAACGCCCGGTACGCTCGCCTGAAGAGCCCCGCCGAAGTGGTGGCCGGCACCCTGCGGCTGGTCGGCGGCTACGAGTTCCCCGGCCCCGGCCTGGGCGAAATGGCCCGCCAGCCCACCTACATGGGCCAGGACCTGCTCAACCCGCCCAGCGTGGAAGGTTGGCACACCGGCGTCGAGTGGATCAACAGCGGCTCCCTGATGCGTCGCATCAACTTCACCGCCGACATGGTCAGCGACGTCAGCCGCCCGGGCATCCGATCAATGATCAACCGCATGCAGGTCCAAGGCGACCTGACTCCTGCCGCCATGGTGGACAACTGCCTCGACCTGATGGGCCCGCTGGAAGTCGATGCCGACACACGCGAGGAGCTTATCTCCCACGCCCAGACCTCCGGCAATGTCTCGTGGGCTACCGACTCCGACGTCACCGCCTCCGAGGAACGCATCTCCGAAATGCTGCAGTTGATCGTTTCACTGCGCGACTACCAGTACGCCTGACGCAACCACCGCGGCGACGCCTTGATTGCGTCGCCGCAATGACCGTCTCGCACTCCGCGTCAGCGGAACGATATCCACAGGAGCAAGCAAAATGACCTCAACGAAGAAAGACCCCGTTCTGGTAGTCTTGCAGCTTACCGGCGGCAACGACTACATGAACACCGTAATCCCCCACGCCGAGCCCTTGTACCGCGACAAGCGGCCCGTGGTCGGCGTGCCGGACGAGCGCATCCTCAAGCTCAATGACAGCATTGGCTTGCACCCCGAACTGGCCCCGCTGCGCCGCTTCTGGGATGGGGGCGACATGGCCATCATCCACGGCGTCGGCTACGCCAATGCCCCGCGCAGCCACTTCCGCAGCATGGACATCTGGCACACCTGTGAGCCGGACAAGCTGGGCACCGAAGGCTGGCTGGGCCGCGCCGCCCGCGACCTTGACCCCAACAAGGAAAACGTCGTCACCGCCGTCAGCTTCGGGCCGAGCCTGCCCCGCGCCCTGGCCCTCCCCGGCGTCCCCGTGGCTTGCGTGGACGACCTGGAGAACTTCGGGATGCTCACCAGCATCCAGGAAGAGATGCAGCGCGGCAAGATCATTGACCGCTTCACGCGCCTCTACTCCCCGACCATCGGCAACGGGTTTGTCATGGATTACCTCAGCCAGACCGGTCTCGACGGCCTCAAGGCTGCCGACATCCTGAAGGTCGCCCCCGAGCAGTACAGCAGCTCCGTCGAATACCCCGACACTGCCATCGCCCGTAAGCTCAAGGGTATCTCGCAGGTGCACCAGGCCGACCTCGGCGCCCGCGTGCTCTACTGCGACCACGGCAGCTTTGACAGCCACTCCAACCAGGTCGGGATGCACGACGGTCTGTGGCGGGACGTTTCTGGCGCGGTATCCAGCTTCTTCGACGACCTGCGCGAGAACAACGCCAGCGATAACGTCATCCTGATGATGTTCTCCGAGTTCGGCCGCCGCGTCCATGACAACGGCAGCGGTACCGACCACGGCGCCGCCGGCCTCGTGCTCGTGATGGGCGACCAGATCAAGGGCGGCGAGTACGGCGAGTACCCGTCTACCAAGCCCGAGCACCTGGAACAGGGCGACCTGGTTCCCGGCACCGACTTCCGCGGCGTCTACTCCACCATCCTGGAAAACTGGATGGGCCTGGACGCCAACCCCATCGTCAGTGGGACCTTCGAAAAAGTCGCGTTTGTCTAGCGGATTACGGGTTCCGGTCAACGGGACGCGCTGATTGGCAAAACCGACCGGGGCCAGTGGGTGTACATCTGCTGGCCCCGCAGCTATGGGCAAACCGGGCCGCATCGCCCGATCTGTCCGTTAAGACACACTGGTAACAAGCAGGTAGAAATATGCTTACGCAAATCGCAAAGGGCCGAGTGTACGACTACAGCCACTCGGTGGGCCGGGGCGCCGCCTCCGGCATTGGGTTCAGCCAGCCCACGGCTATGGCCTTCGAGGGCAACACGGTATATGTGCTGAACCGTGGTATCGAAGGTATCTCCAATGTCCCGTGGAACAAGGTGGCCTACGGCGCGCGGGTCAGCATCATTGACCTGGGCAACGAAGAAGGCGCTGAGGAGTTCACCGGCGAGTTCGGCAAGTACGGCGACCGCGACGGCGAGTTCATTTGGCCCTCCGGCATGGTCCTTGCGCCCAACGGACACATCTACGTGACCGATGAGTGGATGAACCTGGTCTCCGAGTTCGAAAAGGACGGGACCTTCGTCAGTCGATGGAGCGCCGTTCCCGCCGACGACGGCCGGGAGCACGGCACCTCCAGCATCGCCGTGGACGCCGACGGGCAACATCTACTGCACCGATGGCCGCAGCCACGAGGTGCGGAAATTCACCGCCAGCGGTCAGCTCATCACCAGCTGGGGCGGACTCGGCGAGGGCAACGGGGAGTTCAACTCACCCTGGGGCATTACCATCGACCAGAACGACGGCTCGGTGTACGTTGCCGACCACCGCAACCACCGGGTGCAGAAGTTCACCGCCGATGGCGAGTGGCTCATGCAGTTCGGAGAGGCGGGCGCCAAGCGCGGCCAGATGCACCTTCCCGTCAAGGTGACCATCGACCCCCAGGGCGATGTCTACGTTGCTGACTGGAGCGACAACGGCATGCACCCGGGGCGTGTACACGTCTTTGACAAGGAAGGCAACTTCATCATTTCCCTCATCGGCGACGCCCAGTGGCTCAGCAAGTGGGCGGACATGACCGTGGTTGCCAATGCGGACTACCTGAAGCGCCGCCGCGAAGTGCCCACCACGGAGTCCGAGTGGCGGTTCGCCCTGCCCACCGACGTCCACTTCGACGAGACCTCCGGGCGCCTGGTGGTGCTGGACGCTCAGCGCAGCCGCCTCCAGATCTACAACAAGATGGACAATTACCTGGTTCCCCAGATGAACCTGTGATGTGACGTGATCACCCAGGAGCAGGAACCCGACTACGTTCGGCTGGCGGAGGTTTCCCCGGGTATGCTTTGCCGGGAGGCTCCGCCGGAAATCCTGGAGGCGTGCGCGCTGGACAACGAGCCCACGCCGTTCCTGGAACAGTTCTTCGAAGCGGGAGTTCGCGCCCACGCTCGCATGGAGCACGGACGCGAACTCCCCCAAATGTATGTCAACAACGCCATACTGGTGCTCTGGCTGCGGTCGTGCCGCCTTTACACCAACGGCCTTCTCGGCGTCTCTGACCCCGACCTGGATAAGCGGTTCTTTTCCGGCGCCGAGGCCACGCCAAGCTGACGCGCCGGGTATATCCCCGAGCGCGCTCCGTCCCCAGGTTTGAGCGAACCTCCCATGTCCGCATTATTGGATCCGAAAGCCGCCGGCGCCAGGCGTTTCGAAGGCCAGGTTGCCGTCGTCACCGGCGGCGGGCAGGGCATCGGATCGGCCACCGCCCGTCGCCTGGCGCAGGAAGGGGCGTCCATCGTCATCGGAGACATGGTCGCTGAAACCTCCGAACGCGTCCGCAAGGAAATCCAGGATTTCGGCGGCTCTTGCGAGGTTTCCCTGGGTGACCTCTCGAAGTGGGAGAACGCCGAGGCGCTCATGTCCCGGGCGCGCGACGCCTTCGGCAGGATCGACGTCCTCGCCAACATTGCCGGCGGAACCATCTGGTTCCAGTCCTTGCAGTATTACACGCCCGATCAGATCCAGGCGGAGATCGATCGCAGCTTTTGGACCGCCATGTGGTGCTGCCGTGCTGCGTTGCCCCACATGATTGACCAGGGTTCCGGCGCGATTGTTAACATCGCCACCCACGCCGTCACCGGCCGCTTCCGCGTTCCCTATGCCGCTGCCAAGGCCGGCCAAATCGGCCTGACCACTTCGTTGGCGCGGGAGGTCGCCCACCTGGGCATCCGGGTCAACTGCGTCGCTCCCAGTGGGACCGCCGCTGATGATCGGGTGACACCCCGCGATTTCGGCGTTGGAATCGTTCCACCAGAGTTGCCGGCCAGCGAGCGCGCCGCCCAGGATGAGTACCGCTCAGCGACCCGCAACTCCGAAATCCCCATGGGGCGGCGCGGCGAGGCCGACGAACAGGCAGCGGCCATCGCCTTCCTGGCCTCCCACGACGCATCCTACATCACCGGTCAGGTGCTGGCCGTAGGCGGGGGCCAGCCCTACCCGTTCTAGGCGTGTCCGCGGTCCGCCGTTTCCAGCATGTCGGGGCGAATGACTGTTCGCCCCTGTTTCGTTCATCCCCTGGTCGAGTTCCAGGTCAATCGCATTTCAACCATTGCTTCTCCGGTGCGCCCGCTCCCTGATACCGTCATTCCCGCGAAAGCGGGGAATCCAGTGACGAAAATCATCAGTTTCGTTACGGATACCTGCACATTATGGCCTCTGGACTCTGGCTTGCACCGAAGAAACCGCCCGGTAAATTCCAAACGCGATTGCCCTGCTGAGAGGAAATTGCGCTACTCCCGATACAGTGGAATGGTTACTCGAACCAGTCAGCCCACCGGCGAATGTCGTCGCTGGTCGAGATGGCACAGAATAACGGGTTAGGCACCAGTTGCCATGTTTTGATTCCATTTACTCCTGATACACAGATGTACAGCGGTACTAGGCAAGGCAAGAAAAGATGCTACCAGTAGCGTCCCTCCGAACCCCAACGACACCTGATGCACGGTGATACTGTCCTCGTTGGCGATACCGTGCACCGCAAACACCGCGGCCAAAAATGTAGGCAGTACCGGCGTATAAAGTCGTTCCCATCGCCCGTCTTCAAGGCCCGCTCTAGCGGCGTGCGCAGCGCTCGCGCCTAGAACACACGCCATCCCGATAGCGATGAATCCCCGGTTGTCCCCTGCTGACAACAACGCAGCCGCAACTCCTACCCACAGGAAATCGTAGGCCAGAAATAGCAGGACATTTACCCCACGCCTTCCGCATTATCTGTTTAGTTATCTTGGTCTCCTTTGGCCAGAGTCTTATTGAATGTCGGTCGACGACGTCGGCAACCGAGACCGCCGAAAATCGATGATCGCGGAAAACGGATTTCGTCAAACCACTGGGTGGTTTCGCCGGTCGGTCGCCCGAACCCTGAGTAGCGAAATTTCCTCCCAGCTGGGAGGAAATTTCGCTACTCGGGTAGTGACTGACCAGCGCCCGGGCTCTGCTTTCGCGGGCATGGGTATCGCGATGCTGTTGGACCGCTCCGACTACCGTTGTGCCGGGAGGTTTATTCGGGGGTGAAGTCTGCCGGGTCCAGCTGGTACCAGTGAACGTCGGGGCCCTCCAATTCAGCCTCTATTTCCTGGACGTTTTGTACGCTGGCGATCACGGCGTGGCAGGGATGGCCGGTCAGGCGTTGCAGCAGCTCGGCATTGCGGCGGGCTCGTCTGGTGTCGCGCTCGTCGGCGGTGTATGAGGCTTCCACGGCGATGTAGTAAGTCTCGCCGTCAGGGTTGGTGGCGATCAGCACCAAATCGGCGCGGACGAAGCTCTGCCATTCGCCGGCGGACGAGATGTTGCGTCCCACAGGTCCGATCAGCTGCCTCAATTGTTCGCGGGAAAGGCTGTCCTGGAAGTCGAGGCCGAGCAGGTTGGGAATCTCGCCGAAGTGCGCGGCGACGACGTAACGGGCGGTGTTTCCCTTCAGCTCGCCGATGGAATTGTCAATCCGCCTTAGGGAGGTTTCGATGCGCTCGTTGAACTGGCGCTGTCCCTCGTTGAACTGTTCCTGCTTGGTGATGAACTGATCAACGCGGTCGACGAATGCGTTGAACCTGGTGGGCAGTTCCAGGAGTTCGTTGGTCAGGATGAGGCGTCGGGCAGCCTGGTAGAAGTGTGCGTCCTCTTCGAGTAGCCTGAGCAGGTCGTCGCTGGTGTTGATGGTGGTCATCCTGACTTCTCCAGTGGTGTTCCATTCTATATCAACCGCGTTGGTTGCAGGAACTTCGTTGATGGGCGGCTGGGACGGTCGCGAAACTCCGGAGTTGCATGTGACCAGACCCCTGAAGGGCGGCGTGCTTCAGCCGCTCTCGAAGTGTCCGTAGATTGACGTGCTTTGCTGGGTGGTTCACTCTTTCAGTTCGTTCCATGGAGTAGCGAAATTTCCTACCTGCTGGGAGGCCCCCTTGACACCCTCCACGCTCCAATTTATAATCAGAACATATGTTTGCTATTGTCGACATCATCGCTCAGGAAACTCAGGACGGCCGTCTCATCGTCCGCTTCCTCATCTCCACCATGCACGGCGAACTCCCCGACTCCCAGCCCTGCCACCGCCTCGACGCCGCCCGGCTCCTCGTCAAACTCGGCTTCGAGCCAGCTCAGTCCGTCCTCGACCGCGGCGCCCCGCGGCGCTTCCCCGCACCGCATTCGCGCCCCCAGCCTCAGCCTCAACCCGACCCTGAGACCACCGACGCGGCGCACCGCATCCGCTCCGCGCTTGCCCAGATCGTTCGCGATGAAACCAACTTCGGCCGCACCGCCGTCCGTTTCCTCGTCGACGCTATGCAGGGCCAGCTCCCCGACTTCAAACCCTGCCACCGGCTCTCCGCCGCGAAAGAACTCCTCCGCCTCGGCTTCAACTACGACACCGAAGATCAAGGACAGGATTCCCAGGCAGCAACCCAGCCCGACCCCGAACCTGACCCCGCCGAGGTCGAAGCCCAACGCCGCCTTGCCGAGGACATCGAGTTCAGCCGGCACGGTCCCATATACTACGCCAGCTATGCCTACCCCTGTGTTTGCGAAGACCGGCGCCACGACTGCAATGGCAACCTCCTCAACGACCGCAAACTCGAAACAGCCGCCCGGTCCACCCCAGCCCAATCCTACTTTATCGACACCCTTGGTGAAATGGAGGGCTTCGCCACTCGTTACGTCGCCTACCTCAACCGCCACAACGCCGAGAACCCCCATAACCCCATCGACTTCAACCTCATCCAACCTAACCTCACGCCCCGGCACCTTCGTCCCACCGCCCGTGCCCCCTAACTCAGACTATCCATGCCGTGCCCTCGCGCCTGCCCGTTTTGGTCGCGTTTCCGCCATGAACCCCAGGGCAATCGCATTTCAACGGTTGCTTCTCCGGTGCGCCCGCTCCCTGATACCGTCATTCCAGTGAAGGCGGGAATCCAATGACCAAAATCAACAGTTTCGTTACGGATGCCTGCACGTTGTGGCCTCTGGTTTTCACTGGAGAAACCGGCCGGTAAATTCTAAATGCGGTTGCCCCTGGTCGAGTTCTCCCTTCCGGCCGTGCCGCTTGACCGTTCTGCTAATATGGCCGGAACCGATCACGATATGAGACGGAGGCATCGATATGGGACTCAAACGCCTTTTGCTCAAACCGCTTTCCGGATATCCCGGCGACTACAAGAAAATGCGCCGGGGAACCCAGGGTTATGACTCAACGCCCCCGTTCAAGGTGCCGGACAATCCGCGCGACCGCCGCAGCCGCATCCCGCCCAACGGCTTCCGCGAGTATTGGTATCCCGCCCTGCCGGCCAAGGACGTTAAGAAGAACAAACCGACCATGCTCCGGATGCTCGGCAGCGACGTCGTCTTTTTCAAGGACAAGCAGGGCGAGGTCCAGGCGCTGCTGGACTGGTGCCCTCATCGCGCCGTTTATCTGTCCATGGGCCGCTGTTACTTTGAAGGATTTTTGACCTGCCCCTACCACGGCGCCACCTTCGACGGCGACGGCAATTGCGTTGCATTCCTCACCGAGGGTCCTGACTCTATGATGGTCGGCGCCCCCGGCATGAAAGCCCGCAAGTACCCCACCGTAACCCTTAAGGGCATGGTCTTCGTGTGGATGGGCGACGGCGAGCCGGTCGCTCCGCAGGAGGACATCCCGCCGGAGATGTTCGAGGAACACAACATCTGCCGTCCGTCCCTCACCATGTTCGACTGCAACTGGGTGCTCGTCCTGGAGAACACCATGGACGCCCACAACGCCTTCATGGTGCATCGCAACGCCCTGCGGATGCTGGGCAGCCGCGTCGGCGGCCGGCCGCGCACTCCCCTGGGCTACCGCGTCAACCTGGTCAACAACAAGAACGTCCACTACCGCCCCGGCAGCGGCAAGGCCTCCACGGAACAGTACTATTACGACGAGGACGGAAACATCCCGTACCAGATGTACTATCCGGGCGTCGACGGGGTCTGGCCCCTCCATCGGTGGCGGCTGGCGTGGACATGGTTCTTTGACTGGAAGGCCCGACGCCGCGGTCAGGACCCCCAGTACCGCCGCGCGTCCCCGGCTGACACGCCCGACGTCAACGAGTGGAACGGCACCCGCCTGCCCGGCATGTCGCGCACGGGAGGCAATAACCGCTACTTCCGCAGCACCCGCTGGCCCGTGCCGGTCGAGGATAACCTCACCCGCATGGTCTACCTCAACGTCGAGCGATACGAAAAGCGGCCCAGCCTGCTCCGCCGTGTCATGAGCGCCACCACCTGGCCCTATCGCAACTGGGAGCTCAACTTCAACTTCCGCAACCAGGACTACGACGCGGAAAAGTACACGCAGTACAACATGCCCGAGTACCTGTCTTCCACCGACTCGGTGGTCGTTGCCATGCGCCGCCTCTTCGTGGAACACAACCGCGATGTGATCCGCCAGCGTGAGCGTGAGGAAGCGCTGCCCGAGGTCATGGAGGAAACCGAAGCCGAGCGCATGGTCCGAGAGGGCGATGTCAAAGTGGCATCCGCCACCGCCGCCTTCGACGCCGACCGCCTGGAGGCGGAACTGCTGCGTCGGGTTTAGGCGAAAGCCGGCATAACCTCCTCGGCGAACAACCGAATCGACTGTTTGGCCGCATCGGGGTCGATGTAGCCGAACAGGTGCCGCGCGCAGAATATGTCCTGGCCGATCAGTTGGCGCTGCTCCTCCAGCCGTTTCGCAACGGTCTCGGGGCTGCCCACGACTGCGATGCCGTTGTCGATCCAGAAGTCGTAGGATTGCGCCCGCTCGCGGAAGATGCGGCGCAACTCCGCGCGCTCCGGCGTCCCCGGGTCGTCTCCGCGCATCCCGCCCGGCCCGTACCCGATGCGCGTGGACCCGATATAGTCCAGACCCTTACCGGCAGGAACCGCCGATGGGTGGACCGCCGTGGCCAGGTGCGGTTCCGCCTGTTCGCGCGCCTTCTTGTCGGTTTCGGCCACATGTACGTGCCGAGTCAGGAACGTCTTGGGCATCGGTGTGGCGTGACCTTCGGCCTTCCAGAGTCCGCGCCACGTGTCGAATTTGTCGGCAATCACCTGGTCGGTATCGATGTTCTGGGAGACGTGGAAGTTCTTCTTCGCCGCGTATTCGAAACTGGCCGCGCTGTGGGCGCCGAACCACACCGGCGGGTGCGGCTTCTGGAACGGCTCCGGCGTGATCAACGCCTCGTCGTACTGAAAGAATTCCCCGTCGTAGGTCACGCTGCCCTCGGTCCACGCCATCAGGATGATGTCCAGCGCTTCCTGGCTGATCTCGCGCCGCCGGGCGAAGTCCACCTTCCACCGCAGGAATTCGTGACTCGTGACGCCCGTGCCCGCGCCGAATTCCACGCGGCCCCGTGACAGTTGGTCCAGCATGGCTACCTCTTCCGCCAGCCGGACCGGATGGTGAAAGGGCAACTGGTAGATCATCACGCCGAACCGCATCACGCTGGTGGCCCGCGCCAGTGCCGTCAGGTAAACGCTGGGCGAGCTGAGGAAGCTGACGTCCGAGCTCTGGTGCTCGATGGAGAAGTAGTACTTGTACCCCATCTGCTCCGCTTCCTGGGCTCCGCGGATGTGCTCGTCGTACACGTCAGCGGCCACCGGATGCGCCTCCATCTGCGCCTGGTCCAGCACGTCATACAGTCCGATTTCCATTTTGGCCATGCGGTTAACCTCCGGGGTCCAATGCTCACGCGCGGTCGAACACTCACGCACAGTCGAATACTCACGCACAGTCGAGTGCTCACGCGCGGTCGAATGCTCACGTCGGGTGGCTGAAACCCGGCGGAACGGCGGTGGTGAATGCGGTAGTATAATCCCACCGTAACCGGGGAGGGGCTTATGACCACCGTCGACTATTCAATCCTGGACAACCTCCAAGGCTCGGCACGCTCGTTCTACCCTCAGCGCCATTGGACGGAAACCCCGGAAGCCGCCGTCGACTACGTGATAACGGTCGAGGACGGAGTGGAGTTGTCCAGCCGGTTTTATGCAGTGGGAAAGGAAAACCCCACCGTGCTGTTTTTCTACGGCAACGGCGAGACCGCGGCCGGTTACGACGTGATAGCCCCCCTCTACAACCAGATCGGAGCCAACTTCTTCGTCGCCGATTATCGCGGCTACGGGGCCTCCGGAGGGTCGCCCGCCTTCAGCACCATGCTTTCCGACGCCCGTCAGGTGTGGACTGGCTGCGCGGGACCATGAGCGAACTGGGGTTTACCGGGCCCCTGTACGTGATGGGTCGCTCCATGGGCCGCCACGCCGCCGGCGAACTGGCGGTGAGCGCGGCCGACCGGATCAACGGCGTCATAATCGAGAGCGGACGGCCCAACCTGGGGCGGTTCACCGAGGGTTTGGACGCCGAGTCGGCCCAGGCCCTGGAAGAAGCCTACCACCACAAGTTCTATTCCATAAACATCCCGGCCCTGGTCATCCACGGCCAGTGGGACGAATTGGCTCCCCTCGCCGACGCGGTGGACCCTGCACGACAAGATGCGCACCGCCGAGAAGCACCTCGAGATCATCCCCGGCGCCGGGCACAACGACCTGATGTACGTTGGCATCCAGCAATACTTCGGCGCGTTACGGACGTTCATGGGTCGATACGCGAATTCATAACCCTGGCCGCCGTCGCCGCACGCAATGCAGAAGGGGATTGGAGGGATTGACCATGGCGACCCAGATCGCCGGCCACATACTGGCCGGCAGCATTGACGACCTCAAGCGGGACGGCTGCCGGGTGGTCACCGGCGGCGGACACGCTATCGCCGTCATCTATCACAACGGCCAGGTCTACGCCGTGGATAACCGCTGTCCCCACATGGGTTTCCCCCTGGATCGCGGCAGCGTCAGCGACGGCATTCTGACCTGCCACTGGCACCACGCCCGGTTCGACCTGGCCAGCGGCGGCACCTTCAATCCCTTCGCCGATGACGTGCGCAGTTTCCCGACCTCCGTGGTTGATGGCCAGGTCTGGGTGGACCCCCGGCCCGCGCAACGTCACGAAGCAACGCACTGGGCGGGTCGGCTGCGGACGGTCTGGAACACAACATCCGCCTGGTCACCGCCAAATCCGTGCTCGGTCTGCACGCCGCCGCTGCCGACTACCGCGAACCGCTTCGCATCGGGGCCGATTTCGGGACCACGTACACCTCGGCCGGCTGGGGGCCGGCCATGACCATGCTCACGGCCACGGCCAACATCCTGCCCCATCTCGCCGCGGATGATCGTCCCCTCGCGCTGTACCAGGGGCTGCTTCACGTGTCTCGGGAATGCGCCGGTCGGCCGCCCCGTTTCGTGGTGGACCCATTGCCGACTGGCGAGACCCGCCCTGAGGTGTTCAAGCAGTGGTTCCGCAATTTCATCGATGTGCGCGATGAGGACGCCGCCGAACGCTGTCTCCGCACCGCCATTGAACTGGGGGTCCCGCCCCTCGACATCGCGGATATGATCTTCGCAGCATCCACCGACCATATCTACCTGGACGCCGGCCACAGCCTGGACTTCTCCAACAAGGCATTCGAGTTGCTGGACCACATCGGCTGGGAACACGCCAGCCAGACCCTTACCAGCCTGGTCCACGGTATGGCTCTCGCCCGCCGCAGTCAGGAACTCAGCGCGTGGCGACACCCCATCGACCTCGCGTCGTTGGTGTGGCAGTCCCGCGAGGAGCTTCCTTCTCTATGCGAGCAGGGGCGCGGCGCCACCGGCTGGAAAGGCGCCGACGCGTTGGCGCGCGATATGCTCGGTGATTCCCCTTCGGACATTCTGGAGGCCATCAAAACAGCGATAAGGTCGGGCGCGACCGCCGAACAACTCGGCTCCGCGGTTGCCTACGCTGCCTTCCTCCGCATGGCCCACTTCCACGTGTCCAACGAGTTCGGCGACTGGGACACGGTGCACAACACCCTGACCGCCGCCAACGCTCTGCACCAGGCGCTGCGCCGCGCCCCGTCCCCTGAGTTGTTGCGGGGCGTTTTCGACGTGGCCATGAGCATCTACCTGGATCGGTTCCTCAACATGCCGGCCCAGCGCATCCCCGAGACCGGCCCCGACCCAGTGGACGAGGCCGCGCTGTTGGCGGAAATGACCGGCCTGATGAACGTGCGTCAGCAGGTTGAAGAGGTTTCGCACCTGGTATCGCGCTACATCACCGCCTCGGAAAATCCCGATGCGCTGGTGGCTGCCCTCGGGGCCGCGATGCTCACCGAAGACGCCGGTTTCCACTCTTTCCAGATCGTCGACGCCGGGTTCAGCCAGTATCAGGCGCGCCGGGGAACCGAATCCGGCCGCCACGTACTGATCGGCATGGCCCGCTACCTGGCCGCCCACGCTCCTACGTCTCGTGCCGTGGGCCAAACCTACCAGATCGCGGTGCGGTTGCAACGCGGTGAAGAGCTGTTCCGGGAATCGTAAAACCAACCGTCGCCGGCCCCGGCGCCGATGTATAATCCTGCCAACAATCCCGACCCTGCTAGATGACCGACTCAATCCCGCGCTTGCCGCCCGGAGGTTCGACGATGCCCCATCCCAGCCAAATGTCCATTGACGAACTTCAGCAGATCGCTGACCGTGCCGGCCTCGGCATGACCCGCCAGGAGGTCGAGGAACTCAAGCCCATCTATGACCTGTACGCTGGGTATGCCTATGAGCTCCACTCAATCGATTTTGGCCCCACTGAGATGGTCGTGCAGTTTCACCCCGACTGGCCCGAAGAGTAGTCATCTCCGCCACCACGGAGCATTTGGCGCATACCAAGGAGCGAGCACTCATGGCAACTGCTGACCAGCGTTTGTATTTCCTCACTATCCACCAGGCCGGAGAATTGATGCGCAAGGGGGAGCTTTCTCCCGTCGAACTGACCCGCGCCTGCCTCGACCGCATCGCCGACACTGACGACCGCTTGAATTCGTTCATCCTGCTGCTGGCCGACGACGCCCTGGAGCAGGCTCGCGTCGCCGAGTCGGAGATGCTGCGCGGCGAATACCGCGGACCGATGCACGGGATACCCTTCGCCCTGAAAGACCTCTACGACACCGCCGGCATTCGTACCACGTCGGGTTCCCGCGTCGACATCGAGCGGGTACCCACGGAGGACGCCACCACCACTGCCCGCCTCAAGGACGCGGGCGGCATCCTCCTGGGGAAGCTCGCCATGCACGAGTTCGCGCTGGGCGGCCCCGACTGGACGACGCCCTTCGAGCCGGCCCGCAACCCCTGGAACCTGGCCCATATCACCGGCGGCTCCAGCAGCGGCTCCGGTTCGGCGGTAGCTTCCGGCCAGGCCCTCGGCGCGCTGGGCTCCTGCACCGGCGGCTCGATCCGCGGGCCCGCGTCCCTCTGCGGCATTGTTGGCCTGAAGCCGACCTACGGCCGGGTCAGCCGCTACGGCGTCGTGACCCTTAGTTGGTCGCAGGACCACGCCGGTCCCATGACCTGGACCGTCGAGGACACCGCCTATATGCTGCAGGCCATCGCCGGCCACGACCCCAAGGACCCCACGTCCAGCAAAGCGCCTGTGCCTGACTATTCACGTTCCCTACGTGAGGACATTCGCGGCGTCAGGCTGGGCCTGCCCCGGCATTACTTCTTCGATCCCGACCCCAGCGTCAGTCCCGAAGTTGTCGCCACCGTGGAGAAGGCAATCGCGGAGCTGGAGAGCCTTGGCGCCACCGTGCAGGAAGTTTCCCTGCCCAGCCTGGACTACGTCCGCGCCGCCAACTCCGTCATCATGGTCAGCGAAGCCTACGCCTACCACGAGCCCAACCTGAAATCGCGCCCCCAGGAATTCGGCGAGATCGTTCGCGGGCGGTTCCGCGTGGGCGGCATGATGTCCGCCGCCGACTACCTGCAGGCGCAGCGGGTGCGGACCTGGGCCCGGCGGGAGTTCGCCGAGGTCATGCAGAACGTCGATCTGTTGGTCACACCCACCATGACCCAGCCCGCCCCGGCCTTCGAGGGCTACGACCCGTCCAGCACGGCGCGTGGCCGCAGCTTCACCGCGCCGTTCAACGCGACGGGCCTCCCGGCCATCTCGGTACCGTGCGGTTTCACCGAAAGCGGCCTGCCCGTCGGAATGCAGTTTGCCGGCAAACCCTTCGATGAGCCCGGCGTTATCCAAGCGGCCTACACTTACCAGCAGCACGCCCGCTGGTATGACCAGCGCCCGCCGATTTAGGCGGTGTTTGCGGATCCATACCCCCATGGACGGATTGGCTCGGTGAAGCGGACGCTGGCGCTGCGCCGCTGGTGGATTGCCGGCTTCACCGTCGCCCTGGTGGTGGTTCGGATCGCCATTGCCGCCGGCATCGAATTGTTTGGGTCGGCGGGAGAAGATCCCTACAGCGCGCTGTCCGCCGTCACGGCGGCCTTTGATGTCTTGTGCATCGGGTCGGCCGTTGTGACCGTGGTGGCTTTCGTGCAGTACGGCCGTATCTTCAAAGCGCGGGTGCCGACGGAATGATTAGTGGTGCGGGGCGCAAATGGGATCCGTTCGTTAATCGGACCGATGGGAACGACGATATACGTCGTGGGTAGGATGATTAGGCCATCGCACGCTGCCGATACGGTTGAGCCGTGCGCCGCTTAATGATAGGATACCGAAGGCCCTGTGTTGATTCACATCGAGGAGGCTTTATCTATGGCAGACCATAACCACGATATCGGATTGATGGCTCACCTTATGCGCCGCGCCGGCTTCGGCGCGAAGTACGATGAGCTGGAGGCACGTGCGGCCAAGGGGTACGATGCAACCGTAGACGAGTTGCTGAACCCCGAACAGCACGACAACGGGATGGACCTGGACATCGCCGAGCGGTGCTTCATCGAATGGAGCCACGCCACGCGCGGTTTGCCGGAGTACATCGCCTTCCGAATGATCAATTCGAAGGCACAACTCGAAGAAAAAATGCTGCTGTTCTGGCACGGCATCCTGTGCACTGCCGACAGCAAGACCCAAAGCTACCCCACGTCATACGCGGAAATCGAGATGTTCCGGAACAACGGCATGGGCAGCTTCCGCGACCTGTTGGTGGAGATCTCCCGCGACCCGGCGATGATCTTCTTCCTGGACAACTGCCTCAGCCACAAGGGCGCCATCAACGAGAACTACGGTCGCGAGTTGCTGGAGCTCTTCTCCATGGGTGTGGGCATGGACGGCGAGTTCAACTACACCGAGGACGACGTCAAGGAATGTGCCCGCGCGTTCACCGGCTGGACCGTCGCCAACAATATCCCCGGCCAGCCCTATGGCCGCTACTCCGCCAAGTTCGTCTACAATCCTGACGACCACGACGATGGCGCGAAGACCTTCCTCGGGGAGACCGGCAACTTCAACGGCGAAGACGTAATCGACATCATCGCCAGTCGGCCCGCTACCGCGCGCTTCATCTCCCGCCACCTGTACAGCTACTTCGTCGCCGATGAAGCGCAGGTTCCGGCTTGGATGGAGACGCCGCCCCGGGACATGGACACCATCAAAATGCTGGAGGACGAGTACTTCCGCTCCGGCTACGATATCCGCTCCATGCTGCGGGTCCTGTTCCACTCGGACGCCTTCAAGAACGCCCGCTTCCAGCGGGTCAAGAGCCCCATCGAAACCGTCATCGGCACCCTGCGCCTGGTGGGCGACTGGACCGAGCCCAAAGCCCGGTTTCGAGTTCATCTTCGACGAGATGAAGCACATGGGCCAGGAGATCTTCAACCCGCCGTCGGTGGAAGGCTGGCACACCGGTCGCGAATGGATTGACGGCGGCACGCTCGTGCATCGCATCAACTTCACCGCCGAATTTGTCGGCGACGTGAAGCAACCTGGCGTGAAGGAGATCATTGATCGCCTGGCCGACCAGGGTCCGGTCATCTCTCCGGAGACTATGGTGGACGCCACCGCCCGTTTGATGGGTCACTACGAACTGGAGCCCGAGACTCGAGAGATGCTGGCTGCCAGCCTCGCCAAGGGTGGGACCCTGCACACCGACACCGCAGAGTTCGCGGGCCGTGTCAGCGAACTTCTCCAGATGATCGTCGCCACCAAGGAATATATCTACGCCTAGCCGACCCTCAACCGGCTGGCCGGTATCCGACCACTAACCACGTAAACAATCTCACGGGAGGAAACATCGTGACCGCTACTAAGAAAGACCCGGTGCTGGTAGTTCTGCAGATGTCAGGCGCCTTTGACGCTCTGAACACCATTATCCCTTACAACGACCCACTGTATAAGGATTACCGCCCGCACCTGAAGGTCGAGGTTGAGGAAGTCCTGGCCATCGATAATAAGGTTGCTTCCACCCGGCAATGGCCCCCATCAAGGACATGTACGACGACGGCAAGGTCGCCGTTATTCAGGGCATCGGCTATCCCAACCCGATCCGTTCGCACTTCCGCTCCATGGACATCTGGCACACCGCCGAGCCCGCCAAGATGGCCACCGAGGGCTGGCTGGGCCGCGCCATCCAGGACATTGACCCGAACAAGGAAAACGTCCTGACCGCCGTCAACTTCGGCCGTGGCCTCCCCCGCGCGCTCGCCGCGCCGGGCGTGTCCGTCGCCTCCGTCGGCAGCCTCGAGACCTACGGCGTGCTCACCGGCATCGACGGCGAGAGCCAGCGCGCCGAGGCCCTCGACATCTTCTCCCGCATGTACTCCCCCATGGTCGGCTCCGGTCCCATCAACGACTACCTGTCGCAGACCGGCCTGGACGCTCTGAAGGGCGCGGACATCCTGAGCACCGCTCCCGAGATCTACTCCTCCAGCGTGGAGTACGGCGGCGACATGTTCTCCCAGTGGGTCAAGAACATCGCGCAGGTCCACGTGGCCGGCTTCGGCACCCGTGTCCTCTACACCGGTCTGAACCCCGGCGCCTTCGACACCCACGCCAACCAGCCCACCAACTTCGCCAAGCTGTGGGGTGAGGTGTCCCGGGCCGTCAACGACCTGTATCAGGACCTGAAAGAGCACAACGCGAATGAAGAAGTCGTTATGCTGCTCTTCACCGAGTTCGGTCGCCGCGTGCGGGAAAATGGCTCCGGCACCGACCACGGTTCGGGTAGCGTTGCCTTCGTGATCGGCGACGGCGTCAAGGGCGGTCTGTACGGTGAGTACCCGTCCCTGGAGCCGGACAAGCTGGACGAGGGCGACCTGAGGTGGAGCAGCGACTTCCGCAACACCTACGCCACCATCCTCGACAAATGGCTGAACCTGGATGACCAGGCGATCCTGAAGGGCTCCTACGAGCAGTACGATTTCATCAAGTAGCCAACGCGACTGCGTCCGTCATTCCGGCCAATGCCGGGGGCCGGTGCCCAACGCCAGTCCTCACATCAGCTCGAATGACGGAGCGACTTTGTAACAGGTGAGAATATGGTTGCTCAGATTGAAATTGCGCCGGTGACCTTCCAGTACACCCATACCATCGGCCGGCAGGAAGTCCGCAGCGGCAACGGGTTCTTCAACCCGGTGGCCATCACGCGCGACGACAACGGCATGCTGTACGTGTTGAGCCGAGGCACCGAAACTCCGGCTTTCTTCCCCTGCAAGCGTGTGACCGTCTTCCATCCTGACGAGGAAGAAGTGGTCGCCGAGTTCGGGCAGAAGGTCCCGCCGGAAAATGCGGACGAATCCACCCCCAACGGGTCATTCATGTGGCCCACTTCCGTGGCGCTGGACAGCCAGGGCATGGCCTATGTCTCCGACGAGTGGTTGAACCGGATCTCCGTCTATGACCAGGAGCGGGGCAACTGGATCGGAATGTGGGGTACCCTGGGTTCCGCCGACGGCGAGATCAACCGCCCCGCCGGATTGGCCTTCGACAAGGACGACAACCTTTACGTCGTGGACGGTCGCAACCACCGCGTGCAGGTGTTCACCAAGGACGGCCAGTTCAAGTTCAATTGGGGACGCAAGGGCAGCGCCGACGGCGAGTTCGACCACCCTTGGGGCATCGAAATCGACCACAACGGCGACGTTTATGTGGCCGACTGGCGCAACGATCGGATCCAGAAGTTCGCTCCCGACGGCGCCTTCCTGATGAAGTTCGGGACGTCCGGCGACGGTGAGGGAGAGTTCAACCGGCCCACCGGCATGGCCGTCGACAAGGATGGGCACATCTTCGTCACCGACTACAAGAATGACCGCGTTCAGGTTTTCCGCTCGGACGGTAGCTACATCACCACCATGAGCGGACAGGCTGGCCTTTCCAAGTGGGGCGCCGAGCGCGTTTACCTTGACCCAACCATCGTTCGGGCCCGGGAGCGTGCGTTGAATCTGACCGAAAGGGAGGGTTCTTTCCAGGGTCCCATCGCCGTTGAAGTAGGCGACGACGGCCGCGTTTTCGTGTTGGAAGCCCCCCGCCATCGGGTACAGGTCTTCACCAAGCAGACCGCCATGTTTGCCGGCGAACTCTGATCACTCGTAACCGCAAGGTATCAGAAAGGCCACGGCACTGATGCCGTGGCCTTTCTGATTGGCGCAGCCGCCAACCCCCGCGCTGTGTGGATTACTGGGACAGCGCCACCGCCAGACGAAATGCAGATTAGCGGGTGTTAAGCGTGAACGTGGCGACGCGAGGCTACGCCCTCCCGAGGAAAACCTGCGTCAGAATGTCGGTTTCCCGTATCGACTCCGGCGTGCCGTTGTGCACTACTGTGCCCTTGTCTAGCACGTAGGCCCGGTCGACGATGTCCAGCACGCCCTTGATGTTGTGCTCCACCACCATGATGGTGGTATCCAGGCGTTCGCTGATCTCCGCAACCTTTGCAAAGACTTCCTTCACTATGATGGGCGCTAGCCCCAGCGTCGGTTCGTCCAGTAGCAGCACTTCCGGCGCGCCCATCAACCCGCGACCCAGGGCCAGCATCTGCTGTTGCCCGCCGGACATGGCGCTGGCCATATCCCGGCGCTTTTCATGCAGGACCGGGAAAAGCTCCATCACGGAGTCCAGACGCCGCGCTTTCTCCGCCCGGTCGCTGAGGTAGATGCAGCCCATTTCCAGGTTCTCGGTGATGGTCAGGTGCGTGAACACCCGCCGGCCCTGGGGCACGAATGCAATACCTTCCTTGACGATCTCATGGGTTGCGGCGGCCAGCGGTCGCTGACGCCAGTAAACTTGGCCGGAAACCACCGGCGCCAACCCCATCACGGCCTTGAGCACGGTGGACTTGCCAGCCCCGTTGGGCCCCATCACGGCAACCACCTCACCCTTTCGGACGCCCATTGATATGTCGTCCAACGCCCGTACCGCGCCGTATTCCACCGATATGCCCACCAACTCCAGCAGCAGGGCGTCATCGCTCCCGCTCACCTGGCCCATGGTTTCCAGCGATGTCGACGCCATCATGCCCCCAGGTACGCCTCGATCACCTCGGCGCTGCCCAACACCGGTTCCACCTCGCCGGATGCCAGCAGGGTGCCGCTGTCCAGCACGATGATCCGGTCCGACAGCTCCCGCACGATGTCCATGTTGTGGGACACGAACACGATCGTGTACCCGTCCTCCCGCATCCGTTTCATGATGTCCTTGACCCGCTCCAGCATCTGCGGGAACAGTCCGGCGAAGGGTTCGTCGAATAGGTACGTCTGGACGTTCATCGCCATGGCGCGTCCGATTTCCAGCAACTTCCGCTGCCCGTAGGACAGTTCCATGGCCAGCGAGTCTCGCTTCTCCCACATGCCGACCGATTCGAGGATGTCCTGGGCTTTCCGCCGGTTGGCCGGCCGCACCCGCTCCAACAGCGATGGGAACAGCCTCCGTTCGGTCAGCACCACCATGATGTTGTCCCAAACGGTTATCTGGTCGAACAATCGGACTTCCTGGAAGGTGCGGGTCAGCCCGTGCGCCGGCGTCTCGTGGGCGCGCACGACCCGCAGGCCTGCCCCGTCGATGATCACCATGCCGCCGTCCAGTGGTAGCACTCCGCTCAGCAGGTTGACCAGCGTCGACTTGCCGGAGCCGTTGGGCCCCACGATGCTGGTGGTGCCCTGACGCGGGATGGACAGGCTCAGCTCGTCCACCGCCCGGACCGCGCCGAAGTGCTTGGAGATGCCATCCGTTTGCAGGGCCAAAGCATCGCTATCCGTGGTCATAGCCGGTACCTCCCGACCAGTCCCTGGGGCCGGAACAGCATCAGCAGCACCAGCAGGATCCCCAGGATCACCTGCCGCGCCTGGCCGATGTACTCGGTGGGCAGGAACGGTATGAACCGCATCCCTTCTTCCAGCAGCACGAAGGCCATCGCCCCCAATAGCGAACCCCAGATGGTAGCCAGCCCGCCCAGGATCACGATGGAAACCAGCAGCACCGACTCCAGGAGGATGAAGGAGTTGGGGTCTATGAAAGTGGTCCAGCTGGCGAACAGCCCGCCGGCCAGGCCGGTCATCATCGCCGAAATTACCCAGACCGCCAGTTTGTAATGCGTGGCACGGTAACCGAATACCTCGATCGCCTGCTCGTCCTCTCGTATGGCGGTCAGCACCCTTCCGAATGAAGACGTGGTGATGAACCACGAAACCAGCATCACCAGCGCCAGGAACGCCAATCCAAGCAGCAGGAACTCCACCTCCCCGTCGAACACCCAGTTGCCGATCTGCGGCCGCGCGATCTCGTGAATGCCGAACGCGCCTCTCGTGACGCTTCGCAGGTTGAGGAACACATTGAAGGCGATAATGGCGAACCCGAAAGACACCAGCACGAAAATGTCGTCGCGGAACCGGTTGAACACCACGCCCACCAGCAAGGCGGCCAGTCCGGCCAACCCGATGCAGACCGGCAGCGCCGCGAAGAACGACCAGCCGAAGGTCGGTATCGCTTCGGTACGCAACTGCTCGTACGCTGGGTTGGAGGTCAGGATCGCCATGGTGTACGCGCCCAGGCCGAAGAAGCCGATGTGTCCCACCGATAGCAGGCCGGTGAAACCCACCACTAGGTTCAGGCTGACCGCTAGGATTGCCCAGATGGCGAAAACGGTGCCGACAATTACCGCGAATCCGAAGCCCTGCCACAGCAAGAAGGCGATCGCCCACCCGATCACGAAGAGGTTGGCCCACAACTCGATGTTGCCGCGGGCGTGGCGTACCAGCTCCTGCGGGTTCTGGGCCAGCCGGGCAAACTCTCGCACGCCTTCCAAATTCACCGGCATAGCGTCACTTCCGCGGCAGCAGGCCCTGCGGCCAGAAGGACAGGAACAGGATGAGCAGTACAAACGAGATGGCGTCCTTCCATTCGCCGGCGATGTCCCAGATGCCAAACTGCTCCACCAACCCGAGCACGAACCCGCCCACGATGGCTCCGTACAGGTTCCCGATGCCGCCCACCACCGACGCGATCCAGCCTTTCAACAGCAGCAGCAGGCCCATCCGGGGTTGCACGGCCGTGTCGTGTCCCGTCAGTATCCCCGCCATCGCGGCATACAGCGCACCGATGAAAAACACCGCGGCGATGATGACGGTGGTATTGATGCCAACCACCTTGGACACCTCTTCGTCGTCGCCGATTGCCCGCACGGCGCGTCCGAAGGAGGTCATCTTCAGCAGGAACCACATGCTGGCGAAACCCGCGAGGGCCACGCCAATGGCGAATACGTTGAACCCTTTGATCCGTGCGCCTGCAATGTTCCACGTCGTGCTGCCGAAGGCGTCGGGCAAGGGCCGCGGGGCGCTTTGAAATACGATCACGATCAGCGCGGCAATCGCCAGCAGGATGCCCAAGGATGCCACCAGCATGATCAGCGGCGATCGCGCCCGTTCCCGCATGTACACGTACAGCCCACGGTACAGGGCCAGGCCCACGCACCCCGCCAGCAGGCAAGACACCCCCCAGCTCAGGTACAGGCCGGCGCCCGGCGCATTGGACACCAGGTATCCGCACCACGCGCCCAACGCGCCGGCCGGCAGGGCTGCTGCCATGACAAACGGCATCGGGCGAAGGCCTTGGAACACGGTCCGCCCGGCCCGGTACGCGGCCATGGCAGCAATGATCCCGGTCGCCAAACCTATCGCGGGGCTGAGGGTCACATGCAGGTATTCGGGATACGAGAGCACCACCGCGGTGTAAACGCCAACTGCCACACCCGCGACCACGCCGCCCGTGCGAATCACACTTGGGCTGGCCCGTCCTCGCAGACGGGGCTCCAGGACCGTGTGTAGTGTCCAGGCGATCACGCCGGCGACCACCGCGCCAAATATCACGTTGACGTAGGCGTTGTTGATGTCCAGGCGGCTGCCGAGCGACGGGTCCGTGCGCAGGTAGAAAACGCCGTAGGCCCCCAGCGCGGCCGCCACGCCGTAATACAGATCGAAGAACCATACGGTGCTGTACACCAGGGTGAACCCCATGGCCAACAGGGCATACACTGCGCCCACCGCCAGGCCGTTGAACGCGAATTGCAGAGCTTGCGGTGGCGATTGTCCAATCTTCCAGGCGATGTAGCCCAGAGCCAATGCGGTCAACGCGGCCGCCATAAGCCTGGTGCCTGGCATGTGCAGCAGCTGGGGCAGCCCACGGGCGTTGTCACGGTTGTCGAGCAACGAAATCCTCGCTGGTGCAGTCAATCAGTTGTGGTCGGCGCGATGATAGCACAACGGGACCGACCGCCAATGTGCGGCCAACCCCGTGTGTCAGAGCCAGGTTCAGCAGTCGGTCACGGCATGGGCGCCTGCCCCAGTACCACGTATCCCAGGTTTTCGTCGTTGCGCTCGGCCAACGGAAGGACCTGGACAACTACGTTGCTCAATCCGGCCAGGTCTCCGTTGGCGTCGAAACTGTAGTTGTCGCCGATCGCCCCGCTGCGGGTCAGACCGTTCAGGCAGTCCCGGAACCCATCCGCATCCTGGTCGTCGTTGGTCTGTGCGAGACATTCCGCCGCGATGTACACGTCGTCGTACGCCGACGCCTGGAACCATGGAATCGTCGCGACGTTGCCCCACCGCGCTTCAAAGTTGCTCAGGAAAGCAATCCCTTCCGGAGTGTTCAGCTCAGGATTGGGAATGATCGCCTTCATACCGGTGGCTGCTTCGCCAGCGATTCGCAGTGCCTCAGGGCCGGTGGCAACGGTCTCCGCGTAGATTGGCCCCTCGTAACCCAGTTCCCGCAGTTGCTTCATGATGGTCCCTGCGGAAAACTCCTGCTGAGCCGCCAGGTAGATGCCGTCGGGCTCTGCGTTGATGAGCTTGGTCAATTGGCTGCGGAAGTCTGTGATGTCGGAAGTGTAGCTTTCGCCGGCCACGACATGGCCGCCCAATTCTTCCAACCGCGCGACGGTAGTGCGCCGGGCGCCCTCGGCGTAGTCAGTCGACTCAGTCATGGTGGCCAGATGGTGAACATCGTCCGCTATAAGAGTATTCCCGGTGTCTACACCCAACTGGTTGTCGTTGATGGCCGTGCGGAAGATGTAGTCGCCGGCCGTCGCGATGTCAGGGCTGGTCGCCGATGCCGATAGCATGATCACGCGTTCAGCCTCAGCCAGCGGGGCCGCGCCCAGCATGGCACCGCTGCACGTGGTACCCAGGATGATTTTCACCCCGTCGACGTCCGTCAGCTTGTTGTAGGCGGTGATGGCGTCTTGGGCCGCGCACTTGGAATCTTCGGCGACGAGTTCGAGCATCCGACCGTTGACGCCGCCGGCCGCATTAATCTCTTCAACTGCCAGCTGCTTGGACTGGATAAGTGGGTTGCCGTAGGTCTCCGCTGGACCGGTCAATGCGTCCATCGCGCCGATGCGGAACGGCTCCTGCGACATGGCCGGCGCGGCCGCGGCGGCTTCCGCTCCGGGCGCGGGCCCCAGGATGCGGTAGCCGTTGTTGTCCTCCGTTCGTTCCGATTCCGGCAGTACTTCCACCACCGCGTTGGCGAGGCCAACCACTTCACCGTTTGAGTCGAAGTTGTAGTTTTGTCCAATGGCGCCGCTCCAGGTGATGCCGTACAGGCAATCGCGGAACCCGTCGGCGTCCTGGTCGTCGCCAGTCATCTTGAGACATTCGGCCGTGATGTAAACGTTGTCGTAGCCGGATGCCAGGTACCAGGGCAACGTAACGTAATCGTAGCGAGCCCTGAAATTGCTCAGCACTTCTCGGCTCTTGGCATTGGCCGGATCAAGCTCCGCAATGATGGCTTTCACCCCTGTTGCCGCTTCTCCGGCCACCTCCAGAGCTGTGGCTCCAACTGGCACAATCTCCGAGTAGAGAGGACCTTCGTACCCCAACTCGCGGATCTGCTTCACCACCGTGCCGCCCGAGAATTCCGATTGGGCAGCGATATGAACGGCGTCCGGATTTGCGTTCACGATCTTGGTCAATTGGCTGCGGAAATCGGTCACG